GCGGAGACGATCTGTGAAGCTTTTCGATTGATCGATAGTCAATTGGATCCTTGTACTCGGTATGTGCTGACCAAACAACTGTCTTCCTTGCCCGGCTTGACATCAACTTGGAGTCGGGCACATCGGTCGACGTTGGAGTGTTGGCGGCTGGCGGAGTCTGAAGACTGTCCTGGGGGTCAGACGGAGAAGCGCGGGTGAGGATGGTTTTGACCGACAAGTCACTGTCCTTGCCTGTTTCCCGTGGAGGCGTCGGAGGTCGCGGCGGCAGCGATTCGAGGTTGGATGCTGGAGCCGGAGCTGGTGAAGATGCCATGGCTGCGATGCAGCGTTCGGCGATCTAGACAGCAGTGAATCTGCCAGAAGAGAAGCGCGGCCCAGTCGACATTGAGATCTCGTAGACGCTGTTTCGAGGAGGTGAAGCCAACTGGGAACTCGACAGGGGATGCAAAAAAAGTCATCAAAAAGGCCGTCCGCCTGCCATCACGGCCAAGTTCGTTGCGATGAGCTGGGAGGAGGTACGGAGTAACACGGCCCATAATTTTTGCCGAAATCAATTAAGCAAAACGCGATCACGCTTCGACACGCGTTTTAGCGCTGCCCCCACTATAACTTAGCAGTGCCCGCTGCACATAGCGCTCAACTGCGCTGGGGCTAATGACCTGGGCTCTCAAATTTGTCTTACGGGTACAAGCGGTTTGGTGTCTCGCTGGAGCCTGTCGCATGTACCAGGCAGTCCGTCCAGGGGCTGCAAGCAAGAGCTCCAGCGTCGCCTATCGCCAATCTCCGCAATTCCATTGCCACCGACGGAGCCGCTGATTCATCGCCACGGCCAATCGTGGCACAAAGAAGAGAGCTGTCCAGTTCTATTTGATGCGATGAGATGGAAAAATCATAAGTACAGCCAATATTGGGCTTGTTAATCTGCTGAAACCCTGGCTGTTCCGCAAATTTATGTCAGTCATCTCATGACGGCATGCCTGCTTCAATAATCAGGCACCGTCCCATCTTATTAATCTCATTCATAGCCCTTGCGCCCCAGCTCTCATGACTTTTCCCGACAATCGTCAGACCTTTATCATCGTTGCTTCACCAGTAGCAGCATCTCTTCTTCCCTCCTCCAACTCCTAATCGCAGCTTACTCACCTCGCATCCCCTAATACGCCAATACGAAACAGCTGTACTCTGGTGGCGACCAGTCAGAATCCGACTCTATACTTAGCAGCGGGCGAATCATTTGACCATTTCTTTCTTTGTTCTATCAAATTTGTCGACGGTTTTTACGCGCAACCCGACCCGTCCCAACTTCTCTCCCTTTCATGTTCTCTCAGCATCTTTAATCTGACTCATTTTTCGCCATGCCTGGTATTCAACTGGGCACGGCAACTGGCCCTGGTAAGTCCATTTAGCAGTCGCGGAATACTCAGGACATACGTTGTAGCTAACCTTATCCAGCAAAACTCAAGGCAGTGACTGAGCTGGTCAATAAGCTCACCGAGGATCTCGATAAGGCCTCACTTCTCCCCAAAGGTTTGTAAATATCAGCATTCGTCAGTGATTTGTAAAGGTCCCCTATTGATTGTCCTTCAGACCGAGATGAGGCCCTGGAAGAGCTGAAGATCTATGGGCGAGACCCCCGAAACGCAGATCCTATCTTTACCAAAGATGTTAGTAGTTGGGAAGTACGAGTTACTTTATAACAGAGATCAGGCTAACATTTGCAAGGGCATCTCTATGCTTTTACGGCATGGATTCGACAGCTCGTCTGGTGACACAAACCGAGCTGCCTTGAGAGTTTTGGCTAACTCGATGCTGCTAAAACCTGAAACAAGGCGGATGCTTGTAGACCAAGGATTCGCCATAAAGGCTTGTGAGGGGCTCAAAACTGACAACTGGGATAACGAGTTTCTCACGTCACGAATTTTGCTGCTTTCCACTTATGGCACCAAAGAGCATCTGGTTAACCTGATTACCGAACATAACCTCGCCGAGAATATCACAGAGAATCTCAGCCGACATGCTAAACTTGCAGCTACTAAGCCTGTTCAGCCGCAGGCCATGGAGGATATGGCGCTCGCTGAGATTCTCAAACTTTTGTTTAATGTCACTCACTTTTGTAAAGATCAAGCCTCTCGATTTAGCCCAGCGGTGCCGCATATTGTCGAGTTATTGTGGAAACAAGACATTCCAACATCTAAGCCGTTGGAGCCTCCTTTTGGACCATTGGTCAACGCTCTGATTAATCTCGATCTATCGACGGCCGAAAACCAAGCAGCCATCTTCCCAAGCTCGGAATCCAACAAAGTCGCCGCTAGACTGATATCTCTCCTTGACTCGGCAATGGCAAATTACGGTGATAATGACCTTGATGTCACCGTCACCCCTCTAATCAGCACGATGCTCAAGGTCCATGAGAGTGCACCCAGCTCAGTGCGCCAATATATCAGCGGCAAGCTACTGCCAACCGCAGAGGACCGGAAATCAGTTCTTGGCAAAGGCAAGACTCTGTCTTCAAGATTACTGAAAAACTCGACCAACCCGATGGCTCCCGCCTTTCGAGATGCCGTCTCCCACCTCCTCTTCCAATTATCAGACAAGGATGCATCGAAGTTTGTGGAGAATGTCGGGTATGGGTTTGCTTCTGGCTTTTTATTCCAGAATAACGTACCGATCCCGACAAGTGCTTCAACGACGTTCAATGCTGGCGACTCTACAGGCGCTCAAAGGCTTGTGAATCCCATTACGGGACAATTTGTGGATCAAGAAAGGGTTTCGGAGATGCCGCCAATGACTGAAGATGAGCAGCTACGCGAGGCAGAGAGATTATTTGTGCTCTTTGAACGGTAAGGTCTCTCATCCACACAATTTCAGGGAGTAACTAACCTTTGGCCATTAGACTTAGGAGTAACGGCATCATAGATGTCGAAAATCCTGTCGCACAGGCAGTGCGAGAAGGCAGATTCCGTGATCTTGGTGATGATGAGGTGGAGGAGCTTGACTGAGCATACCACACATCATGCAATGTACATGTACCCAGTTATTTACCATTGCATACCCATCTTTTAGGGCATTAGCATTGAAGTATTAGAATCTTTGCAAGCGGCAGGGTTTGGTATACCTACTTAGATGAGCGGACATTTAATATGAGGCGAAGTTACTTTCTAGTAGCATGAACATAGACTAATGTACCACTTTGTTTACCTCTAGATGGAGAGAAGGTGAAACAGCTATATATCTTGGAATTGACTTGCGGTGGTTAGATACATGCACTTTCAAGTCCATCTGCAATTAGCCAACAGTTTCACGCTCAGGTGCCTTATGTCTGTCTGCCAAGGGATTGCTGCAAGGAGGCGCTACTATACCCGACACCCCCGGCGACGATACTATGTATGCCATCGCAAGATGCATAGGTAATACGTTTTGTCTATTTTATTTTTCATTTAATTTTTTAATAAGTTATCAGCCTCTTTTTTTCCTCTATAGTTTTGAAGTTGGCTCTCAGAAATATAATATCGAGAGTTACCACGTGACCACATACTTCAGATGAAATGACATCCATTCCTCTAAGCTGCACCTCATAAAAACCATCCGTGAACACAAAGGCGCCCGACGCGTTTTCTTCTCCTCCACCTCTTGCAGGTGTTCCCATCGCGTTTACCCTAACGCTTAATCAACCAGGTCGCGTTCATTTGAACATTTCAAAGACTCAGCAGTCATGCCCCGGTTATTTGATGATGTTGAAAGCGCGGAAGTGAGCGAACTCATGTCTCAGTAAGAAGCGCGATATTCTGAATTGGCAATCGCGTGTTGAATCTAATCCCTGGGTAGAATGTTTGAAGAGGCTGGGCTGGCCGCGTCCAGTAACCAGATGCCACCACCGGATCTTCCCCACTCACCGGAAGATGTTCAGATTTCATCGGCTGAACGTTTCGCTTCACTGGTTCACTCTCCAGTTTCGCCGGCCTTCAAATCAGCTAGTTCTTCGAGGCGATCTTCGCTGGCTAGGCAGCTTAATGGCGCGGGAGACACCGCAAAGAGTCCAGCGCAATCCAAGGACGTCAAAGACGCTGAGAACGGTGAAGTGATCTCATCAACGCCTGCTACACCAAGACAGTCGTCCAGGCGTCAGGCTAAGCCTGCTCGCAAAGCTGCATCTCCCGTGAAGCGAGAGCGCGCAAAGAGAAGCGTCGACGTGAAAAGCGCGATTCGAAAATCTGGACGGCCAGCCAGGGCACAGCCAACCAGGACACAGCCAGCCAGAGCACAGAGAGCAAAGGCTCAGCCAGCAAAGGCACAACCAGCCAAGGCACAACCAGTAAAGCGCAGAGGCAGGCCCGCCGGGAAAGCCAAGGAATCTGAAGCCACCGGTAAAGCTAAAGGGGGACGGAAAGAGTGGGAGGTGGAGAAGATTGTCGACTCTAGAATTGAAGAGGAAACTCTGGAGCACTACTTCAGAGTCAAGTGGAAGGGCTTCAGCGACAAGGACAACACGTGGGAGCCAAAGAAGAATCTGGCCAATTGCAGAGGTCTAGTTGAGGCCTATGAGAAGAAAGCAGGGAAGAAATGACGAGGGTATGCAAGTTGGCTTTTTACCCTGAAAGGGCAGCGTCAAGAGGTGGTGATGCCTCTGAGCGAATGTATATAGTGGGTTTTCCAATGTTTGGCGTCTTTTCCTGCTTTAGGGTAAGAGATATCATATGGGTATGGACGAAGACACGAGATTCTTTTCTTAGGGATGGCTAGCAATCGTATTTTCACTTCATCGGCAAATATTCAATGCTCGCAGGCTAGGAAGCGTCGATGTTTCGACTTTACATAATGAAATTCAATACCGCAGCATCACACAAGCAAAGCGATTCGTTACCATCAGAACCGGTGCTAGAGACATAAAGGGTCCGTAGAATGAATGCATGGATCATTCTTTGTTTACTTTTTTCCCCATGACTTCCGCCTGCTCCATACACAAGCTGAATTAGCATCGCGTTCTTTCAACCAATTAGCTTGCGACCTTAGCTCAGCTGGGAGAGCGTCAGACTGAAGCTCCAACTTCAATCTCTTGACATCTGAAGGTCGTGTGTTCGATCCACACAGGTCGCATGTCATATATTTTTGGATTTTTGAGAAATGATCTTCTTGTTCAAGAAATCCATCTCTTCTTTTAACAGATTCGCCTTTTTTTGTAATTTGGTCTTCTTTCTTTCTTTTTGCCTGGTTTGTGTTATAGGTATAGGTAATTTGGTGTTAATATGTATAACACGCAGGAAATGGAGGGGCTCTTGGTCCTGTAGCAAACCCAATGACCATAACCAGCCAGGGGCCTATCCAACAGGCTATTTTGGTCGCAAACAAATAAGTTAATCTTCAAATGTTTCTATCCTATTTGGTATCAAGGCATGACTAACGAATATCGCTGCTGCTGCGAAAGAAGATTTGAAATGAAGAAAGACTTTTTGTTGGTAAGAATGACTCGAGTAAGCCCGAAGTCGGCAACATTTACAAGGGCTATATCGCAACAAACGTTGACTCACTGACTTCTTCGTCTCATTTTCTTTCTTGGGACCATATTTGTTTCATACACTAAACAGTAATAATTTATTCTATTTTGGATTCTACTCATCGTGTACATTTGTAAACGGCGCTGCACAGACGACCCGCGCCTGGCACACATATCTCTTCAGCCTGTATTGCATATATCCCACCTAATGTCTCATTTTCAGACCTATGAATGCCCCTCGTTTATGTAGGCCGGCGTTAGTGCACTCTAGGCTCGGCAAGCCTACCGAGGAGGCCGAATGAGTGACTGTTCATGCTTGTTTTCGCTTCCTTGCTCTCTGATCAAGTCGGGCTAGCTTGTGGGGATGCATCCCTGGCTCGAGGTGCTTGACAACATCTTGTCTGGCGGAATCTGCGAATCATCTGCTCGTGCATATTTTTGTTGGTCTGTTCCCCGATATACATAGGATAAGCAAGTGTACCTAGACGGGGAAGATCAGCCAAGCAAATGTCACTTCTGGCGCTCCCCCGCCCTTCTCATCAATTCCATTCGCATATCACGATGTAAAGGGATATCTTGCATTGTTTTTTGGTTGCCATCTAGTAGTGTATTACTTTTATCCGTCATATCTATATCGCTAAATCATAAACTATGCAGACGCTTGGCTTCCAAAGTGCAATATGCGAATATGGCTTTCTCCAACACCATCTCTACGTTCCTTTAGGCATTCGGCGTTTGCGCAGCATACCCGTAGAGCAGCTCCATCACTTTCGTATTAGGTTCCTCCTCCTCCCATTTCTTGACCAGCTTAAAGCCAAGTTTGCCCAATACGTTCTGACTGGGCCCGTTGCTATCCAGCGTGACCGCAGTAATCCGCTCTGGCTGTCGCTCGCTCTCGCCCTCGACGGTGCTCTTCTCCACCTTGATCTCGACCTCTTCTCGGGGAAGTGCCCAGTACGCCTTGAGAATGGCGTTCATAACTTCAGTAGCGATACCCTTGCCCCAGAATTCGGATCGAAACAGGTAGCCGACGACAGGCCAGCCGAGCTCTCCCACCCGCATGTGAGAGCCACCCGTGCCAATCATTTCGCCGGTCTCTGCCCAGCAGATGGCGAACTCGTAAGCTGATTCACCATCGGTGCCCGGTAGCCTGTCTGCGAGGACTTTTTCGGTTTGTGCTAGGTCTGTGTCGGGCTTGCCCTGTGATGTCCACTTCATGACTTCGGGCTGTATGCGGAGGAGGTGGAAGTCATTGAGGTCTGTGGCGGCGTATGGCCTGAGGATGAGGCGCTCAGTTCGAATGGGCTCTCGCTCTGACATGGGAGGATAGGGTTTCGGTAGAGTTGTTTTGACCGTCACCCATTCTAGTTCAGTAGCGCCATTGCTCTGTGCCATTGTGTAGAAGTTTCTGTGGTATCGACGGAGTAGTGATGTAGTGTAAATGTTGCAAGTTCAGCAAACGCCAATTAAAAGACTTCAAGAAGACTTGAGCTCGGGCTGTTAGACAGATAGTATGAGTAGTGAATTTAAGAAATAAAATAAAAGAAGATTTAGGGCCAGTTTAAGTATTCAAAGAAAGTGCAACTTTTTCTGTCATCAAGATGCAGACAGCCTCGTTTTTTTTTTGGCGTGAGTCATACCGGGTTGATACCGGACTGCTAGCTGAGAGTGGTATCATTCTCCATCGTGTGGCATATAACTTTTAAGACATTTTTTTTTTCTCCAGTGGTTTGGGCCGTTTGTAGACGGACTTTTTGATTAGTATTTTAGTACGTCCTTCTTGGCTGTCGTCTCAAATTGGTTGGTCGGCCGAAACTTGTATGGCCGGGTCCGCGCCAGCACGGCGAGCCCGATTAGGAATGATTCGAGCGAACTTTTTTTGGAGTTCTAAATTCAGAAAACGAGAGAAAACGAAGCAAGAGAAGTTTACAAAGGGGAATCAGCTGTCATTTGTAAGAGAGGTTAACAACGGAGAGTTAGCTGTCATTTGTAAAGAGGAGTTAAGATGTAACTTAAACTCAAACACAGAAATATGTAACTGCTGGTCCATACACTGGAAACAAAAAAAATGATTTGGGACGATTTGTTGAAAGCTCAATTGTTTTGTATTGTGCAGCCTGAACTCGATAATTGAAATTGCCGAATTCCCACCTGCTTTTTTCCCCAGTTGAATTATCACCTCGACGCCGATTCACGTCTCGATTGAATCGGTGGTCGCCTCCCCAGCCATGAACACGGGACGCTGTACAAAAAGCATAGAGACATTCACATTTCTTGCGTCATAAAATCTACTCCGTGTTCAGAATTTTTTGGTTCATTCAATGCTCTTCTTTAAACGAGCAAATGCAGTGATATTTCCATGATCCGTTGTAAACACCCGCAGAACCTAGCCCAACCGTCCTCAAAACCAATAACATTCTTAAGCGAAAGTGGATGGTCGCTTCGCGCTGAACAGCTTCTGGGTGCTGGTCTTGGTGATGCGGTGGGGGAGAGGGAACTTCAGGTTCTTGGAAACCAGCTGCTTGATGTAGGGGCGCTTGATGTCGGCGGTCTTCTCGATCTCAACAACACGGAGGATCTGGGTAAATTGTCAGTAATCAAATGGCGGTATCTATACCAGATCTGTGCTCGACATACGTGGATGGACCTGAAACGGGCACGGTGGCGGGCAGCCATGTCAGAGTACAGGGACTCGACGGCATCGGTTCTGGTCAGCTCTCTGTACTCCTTGTACATGTTGTGAGTGCCAGAGCGAGAGTCGTATCGCAGCCAGATACCGAAGTTCTTGACCTTCTCGGGGTGCTTCTCGTGGATCTAGAATTTCCTCGCCGTCAGTCGCTATTCCGTCTGTGGACTTTTCGTACTGGGAGAACCACATACCGCCTTGATGCTGACGATCTCACCGGTGGCCTTCTTGACCTTCTTGAGACCACGCAAGAAGTACCAGTAACGGGACTTGGCGACCGTCTCGTTAGGGGCGAAGATGGTCATCCGGTACATGGCCGGGGTAGGGTTGGCCTCGGTGGGCAAGTGGCGGCCAATGACCTCGTACTCCTGAAGACGACCTGATTGCATCTTGTTAGTATCCAAGGCCATAGATATTTGTGAGAAGTGAGTTCCGTCGAATGCGCGCTGCCGGTAGTCTCGTGCCAAATTTGCCGATTTTCCTCAGGGTCGTCGAGTTTCGATTTGAAGAAATCTTCCATAGCAAAACTCCTTGCTCTTCGTAGACGTAATACGATGGCTGTCAAATCCAGTCCCCCCTCTTCCAGGCACCGCATCATCAATTTTCAATCGATTGGTTGAATCGAGATCCCAGTTCGGCATATGGCGATTTTGTTGATTTTTACGGCGAAATTCGACGGCACCATGTCCTCCCAACAACGCGCATTCTCGGAAAGGTGAACTGCTAAAGGGATATTCTTACCCATCTGGACGATCGTTAGTATGTACAATATCTTACAAGATAATCTTCCGACTCACTGTGACTGTTCGACAAATCGCGAAATTTGAAGATTGTCAAGTTAGAGGTGATGCAGCGATAATTTTTGTGTGCGGGTGAGTGGGGAGGGTTGAGCACCAAACTTGTCGCAGGGCTTTAACCTCCACAGCGATTGGCTGAAAGCAGATCCACAGCGCCAGAAGAGTTCGCCAACGCATCACGTGAAAAGTCACACGTGGACTCTGCTTACTTCAGCTGCCATTGGAGCTAAGAGGTACGTACCTTGATGCCTTTGCCTGTGATGGGTGGTAAGGCGTTGGAGCTTCCTCTGTGGTATGGATAGACGTTCTTAGCTATATCAAGCACTTCTTATAGAGTGCACCATCTCAACTAGACTATAATTGTCTTACCTCGGACGGATTCCATTTGCTCTCTTACTCGAGGCGGACTGAGAGCGAATCAGCATTTAACCAATCAAGCCTGTTTCAGGCTTTCATCTCCATCGATATGGACGAGCTATTCAAGGGCTTTGCAAGAGCCCATGCAGAGCAGAATGGATACTTGCTCGCGGCAACGCTCTCACCGATTTCCCCACCAGAGAATCCCCAGCGACTGAGGTCGATTTTGAAGAGCAGCAATTCGTCTAGGATCAAGGGTGACATCAAACACTTGATCAAATCAAACTCATCTCACCAGCGAGGTCTGGATCATGAGGAGATCAAAGGCTGGGTCGAAGTGTATGCTGCGTATTGGAATGCTGTTGGGGACATTGTTGCAGGAGAAGATGGCAAGGTATATAATGTGATGCTGTATACTGAGGACCATGGGTGTCTGACTGCTAACGTTGGAACAGTCAACGTGGACCAAAGTCTACGAATCATGGAAAGAATTAACATCCATATTGATTCGGGGGTATAATAACTTTGGGTTTGAAGCGTGGACGATTCCGTGTCTGTACATGATCGGCAAATACTTGAGATTATTCGCCATCAAATCTGATGCGGAGCGTAGCCGCAACCTCGGCGACAACTCTGGAGGAGCCTCTCTTATGCAGGATGACTTTGACCCAGAGACCGAAAAACAAGGCCAACTGAGAGATTGCGAGCAGCACCTGAAAAGAATATTCACACTTTGTCTCAATGACAGGTTTGTGGCCTGCTTCAATCCTATTGTGAGTGATTCTAACACTCAGATTTAGAGCACCATTAGAAGAATCCAGGAAATGGGGCATCTATTTCATCATCAACCTACTGTTCAAAACATACTTTAAGCTCAATTCGGCCTCACTTTCACGAACCATTCTAAAGACGTTGAGCGCATACAGAGGAGACATGCCACCATTGTCGGCGTTTCCAAAGTCACAAAGAGTCACCTTCAAGTTTTATGAGGGAGTTTTATTTTTCCTAGAGGAGAATTATGTCGAGGTGAGAAGAAATTCTCAATCATGAGGCGTTTCGCATAGCTAACGGCACTATTCAAGGCCGAGAAGCATCTTGTCGAAGCATGGGAGCTCTGTAACAAAGATGCACTGCCAAACTTGGAGTATGTTGAAATATTCCATCACTCAACCGATACGGTACTAATAGTTTATAGGCGCATCCTTACGTATCTCATCCCATGTCGCCTCCTCACTACCCACGTATTGCCCACAAAAGCACTTCTAGAGCCATTTCCGCGCCTACAAAAGCTCTTCCTTCCCTTAGCCCAATGCATCAGAAGCGGTGATCTTCGCGCCTTTGACCTCGCACTGCAAGAAGGTGAAGATGAATTTGTCAAGAGGCGCATTTACCTGACGCTTGAGCGTGGTCGTGACATTGCCTTGCGCAACCTGTTACGCAAAGTCTTCATCGCGGGGGGATTTGACGAGCTCAAAGAGGGAGAAACCACTCCAGTACGCCGCACACGAGTACCAGTGGCAGAATTTCGCGCAGCCATTTGTATGGGGAGCGGTGGGGAGTTGGTCGACACTGATGAAGTCGAATGCTTGATAGCGAACATGATCTACAAGGTATGGTTCAGACTCCCTGGTATGATTTCATGGGAGCCTTGTTGCTGACGCCGATAACTAGGATCTGATGAAAGGCTATATTGCTCGCGAACGAGGCATCGTAGTGTTATCCAAGAAAGGCGCTTTCCCTGGCACAGGCGTCTAAATGAGACGAAGGTGGTACCAGATGATCATAGTCGTTTAATGAAACTCAGAATCATTCTAGCCTCGTAGCTTCATACGCGAGAAGCATCCGCAGCCTATAGTTCTGAGAAGAAGCTTTGAGTGCGCGCACATGTTTCGCTGCCCCCTAGCCATACCTTACCTACGCCCGAAGTACTACAGCACGCATAGCATATTAGATAGCCAAGATATCCGTGAATACGGCCTTCTCCTAGTGGCTGCTTCATCCAACAGCCTCGCCGCTTGGTTGGCTCTCTAAGACTCTTGCGTGCACATGTACACCTCTTCTGCTGCCACACTCGATGTTTGCCTGATTAGTTTTGCATTAATCCAATGACTCATTGCGCGGAAAGTTTAGGGATCTGACTAGGATGTCCGAAAGGTGTGAGGCTCCTTTGAGAGGTTGAAGAACGAATGAGGCCATGGCACATTATGCGATATATCATCATTTCACTTCAAAGGTCATTACAAAATCCAGAAATGATACCAGATTTAACTCGACAACTGTGTGACTTGGAGTGTAAATTTTTGCTAAATAAAGAAGTAACTTATTTCCATACAAGCTCAGCCAGTGTATAGCTCTAACACAGCGCATACAGCGAACTCTCGTGAGCTTCGATCCCTTTTATAGATACGAGCTAGCCTTATAGTTCAATCTCAGCTCGTTCAAAATAATACGTGATCTCCCATTCATAAATACCAAATCATCGTAATTTCAGATAGTGCCATAAATCTTCAAGGGTTGACATATGAGATAGAACAAATAAGCCGCTGGGTATGGCGGCTGAAAAAAAGCAGAGACATAATGATACAAGAGATGACGTGGGGGAATAACCGTGAAAAAAGCCAACTGCATAAAGAAATCGCGATTCCATAAAGGTGCCGCGATTGTTTGTTTTTGTTATCGGGCTGGTGTCGTCTTTTTGATGAGTGACATAGGAAAAGAAATTAGCTCTTTTAGAGACGAGCCTAAGACATTACATGTGGCGGGTAGATCGTGGGGTATTTCTTCTTGGTTGTTAATCACGTAGCGATAAAAAGAAATAACAGATAAGAAAGACCTACTGTGTAGATGAAATATCATCGACGTGGTTGCAGAGAGCCACAAAGAGGTCAAAGAAGAGCGGAGTGCCTCCATTGAACATTTCGAGCTGCATTGTGCCACTTCGCTTGAAGGTGCTACGAGATCGAATGATTAGAGCCAAGTAATGGGCTCGCAGCTTTGAGTCACTATCAGGGGTGTTGGCATATGCATATCTTGCGGAGGCCAAGATGGTGCTGCACTGAATGCCCGATTCTGCTTTGTGTCAGGAATAGGACAAGATGAGCATGGTGCCGAAAGAAAACTTACGAAGACCTTGCTTGCGCAGAGCCAGTTTCTTCAATTCATCTAAGCCATACCGCTCAGCAGCACAGTAGATGACGGTGTCCTTGAGCAGGTCACCGTCAACGCCACGATGGTAGACTGTGCTTTCTGCGGCCCTTTTATCGTCATCACTGCCTATGGCCTCTAGTTCCCAGGAATCCCGCCGCTTGTTGTGCACCAAGCGGGGATAGTAGTCCCCTTTATACATGTACTCCAGCACCGAGCTGAAAATCTCGGGCTCTTCGTCCGGAAGAGAGATTCTCTTGGCAGAGGGGTCGGTGTAGAGGTTTCGCAGGGCATTGTCAAAAAAGGGGCTCGAAGAGAGGACGTTTTCGTGCGCGGCGAAAAGTCTCTGTTCGGCACCGACGACGAGAGTCACAATAGAAGAGCTCAGGTTACTAGTGGCCACATTAGTTGACATTCTTTGTATTGCACGATGGATCACTTACCTCGTCATGATGGTGTCCTCACTTGCGGACGAAGCCGTAGCCGGTCTCCGATGGCGAGATTCATGGCGCTTTTTAGTAATGCCACTGTCCTTGCTAAAGGAAGAGCTGGATTTGGACACTTTATGGCCCTTGGAGAAGCTCCGGCTGGAGGTTTCGAAGCGCCTGGAGTACATTGTGGATCCGGTCGGGGACGGTGTGATTAAAAGGATTAATTAAAGAAAGACGCAATTGTCATAAACGGCAGATGCAATCAACCGTGCAATCTGGTCATAACCATGAAAATGAAAGAGAGGAAAGTCCGGAATGAATCGACCACACCGTAAAATCGATTCACTTACCTAAGGCACCAAGCCGGACGATGCTGAAATTTTTGCATAAAGCGAGGTTGGACGCCATGGTTTTATACGACACCGGACCCAAGCCCATAGGAGGCGTTGCCTGCCTACAGACACCCCCCGGATCCGTTAGTGAGGCGGCCTAGGCAGGGTTGGTGATAATGAGATGACACAACGCGTCCACTCGGTTAATTTCGCGTCTAGTCCTGTACAGTAATAATGACAGTGCGCCACTGTAAACGCCAAAAGATTGCGAAAGCACGTGATGCCAGGCGGCACTTGTATCGACCATTCTGAGAGGCCAAGGCGGATTCGCAGCCCGATGACCAAGGATCCTTGCTGAGTTCGTCGAGTCAGAGCAAAGAAGGGCTGAGAAAAGGGGGGGGGCAGGTCTCGGGCGTTTCAACAGGTTTGATGGTGGCTGCAGTGGGACAGACTTAAGAGCCTGTTCTGAGCCGTGCGGTGCCTGGAGCCGTGCAAGGCATCCATACACCAGCCTGCAGGAATGCGCGATAGTGCATCAAGGCGATGGGGCACGCGGAATCAAAAGTTTTGGGATTCGGACTGCTGGAAACTTTAGACGAGAGGAATGTGAGAATCTCGGAGTCAATTGAAGCCAATTATACCAAGGCTTTATCACCGACCATGGTTGAAGCTGTCCTGATGCCTTGGACGCTCTATCTAATTCTCACGACAGCAAGTGTCTCACAACGGACGGCCTGCAACAAGCCTCACGCTTGGGCCGTGCTTTTCGCCAGTGGATCATGGATAGATTGCATTGCAAGGTACAGGCCTTGTTGCATCTGAGTTTCTGGTAAGCTACTGCACCAGCTAAGGCCAGTACGAGGATCCCGTGTGTGTGTGTGTTGGGCGCGGACTTGGCCATGACTGGAAGTAGGAGCCGTAGCACAGCTGATCTGACCAAACTCTCAAGTATAAGATTCGGGTCCGGTGTTCACGCTCAGGTTTTGCTTTTTGCCAACCCGGGCAGACATTGCGCCTGGTCGGCAGAGAGTTCCTGCGCCCGCGAGACCGCCGAGGCAATAGACTGTGCAATGGTGTGTTTGCCATGTCTCCTTACCATCACATCGTTATGGAGCGCTCCGCGAACGGTGTGCAATTCCGCATATAATTGGACGTCCTGGCACCGCCGATAAAGGATGTCGCCATGATCAGAGGGCACCAGTTCGTCCTTGCCCCCCTCTACTATGTAGACCCCTGGTTTTTGGGCCTTTGCAGCTATCAGCTCCAAGTTTGCCCAGCTGTCGAGGTGGTTGCGCAAGAATGGCCATAGATATCGATATGGCAGCCACTTTTGCGGATACAGCGCCGTGAGCATTGCTCGGGTATTTGTGAACGGCGTCTCTAGCACCAAGGCATTGATCGGCAGATTGCCAGCATCTTGGGTCTTGGCTGCTAGGTTTGTTACGAAACCACACCCGATACTCTGCCCCCAAAGGATAGTGACTGGTGCCCCCTGTGTCTCTTTATGCTTCTCATGATGAAGCTTTGATACCCACCGAAGAGCCGCTTCAGAATCCAAGTCGATGCCTTTCTCAGAAGGACGATCGTGAGATGTCCAATATCCCCTGTAGCTGAGACAAATCATGGTGTAGTGCACTTGTCCTTTGGTCTCTGCTTTCAGCTGACGTAGGATGCCTGAGAGATCTGGCAGTCGAGGGGGAAGAGATGAAGCGTTCCCTATACCTCCACTCAGCCAATTGCAATAGTTTAAAACAGAAATCGATTAGCATACCTTGGAAATAGAGGATGTAGACTGGCGTTTTTGGTCCTTTGGATGAGCTACCACGCTCGTCGCCACAAGATATCTCACTTATACAAAGCGCAATTTCTGTGCCATCCAGGGACTTGATTCTATCCTCTTTCCATTCGACACCCCCACACTGACGAGAAAACTCGGAGATGGTCATGCTTCGGGCATTTGGTGGGAGAAAGGGGTTGTATATGATGGCATTCTGGAATAAGACAAGCATGATGCATTTGTAGCACCAAAGGGCAAGAAAGAGTCCGGTGAAGATGAGAGGCGGCATCAAGACTTGGCCGAGGTGGATTTGCCTCTTGAAAATGCCACGCCCATGGCTATATCCATATTGAACGATAGGTTTTCTTGCTTGCCATGCCCATAGTGCAGCTGTTCGGTAGCCCCTTGTCGTCACATGTATCACCGGCACTCTGAGAAGCGCAACCGAAGACGATGGGATGCGCATTACTGACAGCCCAAGTTCCCGGACCCCGCTATCGGGTATGGAGTGGTTGTAGGAACAAGTCTTGATCAATCTTTCACAGCATGCTCGACCACGGCAGTGCTGTTTGCTCCTTTCAAGAGGTTGAGCCGTTTGAAAGATGTTATGTAGTAGCCATAAAAATGGCCACATGCAGCTGTCAAGGTCAATTACAGGACTTTTTGTAATGATGTAGCCCCTGCCACCCCGCGTTAGCCTGAAGCAGCCGTGCGTTTAGTGGGCTTGGGCGTCACCCATCGCTGAAAATACGCCACTCGGGCACTCATCTGTCGCAAGGCTCAAAGCTGGAGCTTAAATAAGAAAGCTCCAGAAAATACTAATAGGCAGCACTGGAGCCGTTTCGCGTGCCTCTTTTGCTCTTGGACAAACCAAACCATCCAGTGATCAGAGCATCCTCCAGCAACTACAACGTCTTCTGGTCGAGCCTCAGAACTTTGACAACCCAAATCTCTCCTACGACGATCTTGCCCCGAGCTTACACTAGAATCGGCAGTGCGTCATGGACGTCCCGCACGAAAAAGAGAAAGAGAGCGAGGGCACTGCCCACATCGACATCGTGGACGACCGGCCGTCTCATCACGTCGATGGCGAGCCAAGCCCGTCTCTCAGAGACAGCAAGGGATGGGATGGCAAGCTCCGGATTCCCAAGACTGCGCTCATGACCAACCCCGAGGCCCTGTCAGACCCGGAGTACTCAGACGACAGTAATGTCCTGCATGGCGAAGAGATCCGGGCAGACGAGAGTAGGAATCCATGAGCCAGACCATACGTATCCCGAGCTGACGTTTGTTTTACATGGCAGATCTACTCGATAGCGAGGATTCCGGCACCGAAGAAATCATGTGCTCCCACTCTCGCATCAAGTCACTGCCTGCCCTACGGCTGGAGCGCTTCAAGAACGTTACTCGCATTTGTCTCCGACAAAATGTCATCCAAGATATCGAAAGTCTCGAAAGCCTTGCCGATACGCTGGAAGAGCTGGATTTATACGATAACCTGATCTCCCACATCCGGGGCTTGGACAACTTAACAAAGCTTACAAGCCTGGATCTCAGTTTCAACAAGATCAAACACATCAAGCACATCAATCATCTTAAGGAACTAAAGGAGATATTCCTGGTTGCTAACAAGATCAGCAAAATCGAGGGGCTAGAAGGGCTTGACAAGCTCAAGTCTCTAGAACTCGGCTCAAACCGTATCCGAGAGATCCAAAATCTCGATAGCCTACAGAATCTGGAGGAGCTATGGCTAGCGAAGAACAAGATTACAGAGCTCACAGGGCTCGGAGGGCTTCCCAAGTTGCGTCTGCTGAGTATCCAGTCCAACCGAATCCGAGATGTGTCTCCCCTCAAGGAAGTCCCTCAGCTAGAGGAGCTATACATTGCCCACAACGCCCTCGAATCCTTGGAAGGTATTGAGAACAACACCAACCTCAAGATACTCGAAATTTCCAACAATCAGATTAGCAGCCTCAAAGGTGTTGGTCCCTTGGAAAATCTGGAAGAATTGTGGGCCAGTTACAATCAACTGGGAGACTTTGCCGAGGTGGAGAAGGAGTTGAAAGACAAGGAGGACTTGACAACCGTCTATTTTGAGGGCAACCCTCTTCAGCTGCGTGGCCCCGCTCTGTACAGGAACAAAGTTCGGCTTGCACTCCCACAAGTTAAGCAGATTGATGCTAGTGAGTCTTATCTTACCCCGATATTTCCCAGTTTGATCATCCTCTAACCTTGTTCAGCATTCGTGAGAGTATAATGTGAGTTTCACGATGTGGATTGGAGTATTAGAGTTACAGAATGGTTTATCTTTTGGAGGAAATACTACGGCGTTTATCGAATTATTATCTCATGGCATCTTTTACTGCAACAATCAAGGCATTTGTGTCCCATTTCACTGATTTGATTTGATCGGACACTCATCGTGTCCAAGGTGGTGAAAGATGAAACAAAGATTTTGCCAGCTCCAATGGTTCGGAATATTCTGAGATTTGTATTCTATCCAGACTGACCGCCCAGCTATTCTTTGAAAGAGGAACAATGAAGACGTGATCCTAACACCAACAAGGGAATTTACTAGCACAAAAGGATTTCTTTTACTTTTTTTTCTTTATCCAACCATCTTCCGATTTAGCCAAAGAGGAACAGCTTGTCAGCGGAGAAGTACTGTGATCGAAGGTTAGCAATGAACAGTTTGATACTGATGATAATAAGATGCAACTCACGTTTGTGGGCTTATTGAATCGGATGTTCAGGTCCATCTCGGCAATCTTGGTCAAGTCGCCGTCGTCCAAGTTAAAGTTGACGGAATCCAGGTTCTGGGCCATGACTTCCGATCGGCTGGTCTTGGGGATGACGGCCAGGCCGCGCTGAGTAGCCCATCGGAGGAGGACCTGAGCAGGGGTCTTCTTGTGCTTGGTGGCAATCTCCTTGATGACGGGGCTCTCCATCAGAGGAGCGGCGTGCTTGACGCGGAAGTCCTCAATCTCCATGAAGCCAGTGGGGCCAAAGGAGGAGTATGCTGTGACGGTGATGCCCTCCTTCTGAGCAAGGTTGACGAGGTCGGGCTGCTGGAGGTAAGGGTGGTGCTCAATCTGGAGCGTAGCCGGGCGGATCCTGGCGTAGATGAGGTTGTCATACACAGACTGGGCCTGGTAGTTGGAGATGCCGATGCTTCGGGCAAGGCCGGCATCGACCAGCTTCTCCATGGCTCCCCAGGTCTGCTGGAGGGTGGTCTTGCTCCATCGGACCTCGCTCTTGCCGTCGTAGAACCATCCGGGAGGGTAGCGGACGCTGGGGTCAACGTACTCGAGGGCAGCGGGGAAGTGGATGAGGAAGAGGTCAAAGTAGTCAATCTGCCAGTCGGCAAGCTGCTTGCGGGTGATGGGCTCGACCTTGTCCTCGTCGTGGAAGGTCTGCCACAGCTTGGAGACGATGAAGAGGTCCTCACGCTTCACGATGCCCTCCTTGATGGCGCGGGCAACACCCTCACCACACTCCTTTTCGTTGCCATAGTCTGTGTAAGTGGGAGATGCAACGTTAGCGCTGATGCTGTTTTCTAGTGACGCAACCCCGACTTTCACAAGCAAAATGCGGGGAAAAGAGAGAGAGAGAGATTCTTTTTTATCTCACTCTCTGCTTGAGCTTGAAAACAACGATTGAAACTTACCACAAGCACCGTCGAACAGACGGTAACCGGCCTTGATGGCGTTGTAAACGGTATCCGCGCACACGGCGTTGTCGACCTTCCAGAGGCCAAAGCCCACCTGGGGCATCTCATATCCGCTGTTAAGCTTAATCGTGGGGGACGCCATCTTGCTTGCTAGTCTTCCTTGGGTCGAGAAACAACGGTAGGTCTTGTGAGTGTGAACCGGTTGAGCGTCAGATGGGATAGAACAACGAGACAGGAAGAACGAAGGTTGTCGGGGCTTATTTATGGACAACGCTCGAACTCCACCCGAGAGGATGCTCGCTCGGTGCCTCATGGCTTGGGGTTACTCTCTTATTCGCAGCCGCAGCCTTGCTATCGCCCCTTTGCGGAGTCCTCTTTTTCTTTTTTGACGCAGTGGAATCGAATCCCACTCTAGCCCGCCAAGTAAGGGTCAGCTGGGGCCTGGGATGGATGGGCGAGTCTAGATATGAGGAGGCAACGGTCCAAGCCAAAGCTCCAGTAATAATCCGTCGGACCCAGCGCCAGTTCTTGTTTGCCGCCTATATGCATGAGGGCGGGTAGAAACTAGCAGATCTAACCGGCCCGTATGTATGGCTTTCTCACCCAAGGAGGTGGGGGAGCATGTGGCCGCAAGCTGTCATCTATCTTCTCTAACACGGAGAGCTCAGGGTCCTTGGTGGCTCGTCATTCTGCTCTCCTATTAGTGCGTTTACCTTGTCACTTGGCTCTCTTGTCTCTTATTTGTGCGTTTAACTGCGTTCGCTCATCTGTATGTACGGGCATGAACCGATGTGGCTCTGCTAACCTACGTAGGCATAATGCCACATGCATTTCGGGAATATGGCGCTTTACCTTGCAGCTCAAGCCCTCTTTTTCATTTACTCGTACATCACTGAGAAAAAACATGTCATTGTGGATCTGAATGGGGGGGCGAGGACATGACCATGGAATGCTGCGGCAACAGCTGCATTCACCTTCGGGTTCTCGAAACAGTTCTTCGATATTCCGGATGATCAGGCTGAGGGAACCGCAAATGTGCAATTTAGCCTAAATCGCTAGAGCTCCGCCAGCCAGGATGCGGCTAATTGTCCGGTTGGTTGCCGCTCCTTGTGGCTCCCGACGCCTTCGATGGAGCTTATTATCCACTAGGAGGAGGAAGAAGATACTAATAAAGACGACTGGTTGGACGAAAGTTTGGACTTGATTCAGGAAATAGGACATGGGAGGCCTGACCTGAGGGATAAGATGACATCGTCGTGTTGGTCGGGCTATTGATACCGCGGGTATTTGCAATTTTGCTGTCGATTTTTTCCTTCATGAAACTTTTCTTACGAGTACGAGCCAACTCCTCACCGGGCTTTTTGCTTATGGTGACGACGCTTGAAGCTATTCGGTGGAGACAGCCAGGAATCTATTTGCGGTGGCTTGTATCCATTTCTCTTTGAGGGGTCGTTCGACAGCGGGGTTTTGTTTTCTTTGAGCCGGGACGACTTCATCCAGGACAAGGAGATGAAAGAGACCCCTCGTTAGATTGCCGACTTTCCCCTATCCATTGTTCAGTTTCTTTTGTTCTATTGTCAATTGGGACAAAGAAGCCGGTTATCGTCGTCAAAGACAATGAACATGATTCAAGGCGTCAGTGTATGAAACGACGAGAGCGTTCAAGATGAAGATGCATTGTGTTGGATTTTCCTTTGTTGACCGAGTTGTTATTTTTGGCATCTCACTCACACATATATCGTAGCAACCGACTTGGATAGCAGAAGAAGAAGAGAAAAAATGGAATCGTCAATTTTACTCGCATATTCTATCACTAACTAATCGTCATCGTCCTCACGGTCAAGATGCCTTCGCCGTTGCCTCATCTCATCGTGCGCCGCACAGCGGCAAAACAGACTCCTCTCACACCAACCCGAAACATATCAGCCATTCGATCAGCCTTGCTCCGCGGCGACAGAGTCGTAACTCTTCACAACACCAGCAGAATCCTTCGGGAGCACGTCAAGAACATCAGAGTCCCCTATCATCCCAGGCACATGCAACATGATCAACTATTCGAATGGCCCTTTGGTGACCAGTATACAGATTCCCGTAGCAGCCACTCAGATCAGCCAAAACAGGTCGGCCAATTCATTGAGCTGCTTGAATGGGATGGCTTCAGGCTTGAATGGATCAGGGTGCTTGGCCAAGGCGGCTTTGGAATAGCTACGCTTTGGCACGTCATTTTTGAAGACCAGAGCAGCATCAAGGTTGTCATCAAGATACCTGTCCGTGAAAACGCTGACTTTGATAGCGAGCTAGACTGGCATCTGAGATATGGAGGGGCTTCTCACGTTACCCAGGCTCTTGACATTCAGGCAATGGCTGACAGTGTTAGGCGCAGGATCAACAGGGGGCACATGATAAACCGAGGCCCGCGATTTGCGCCGACTAACATGGACGTTCTTGTGTTAGAGTATGCAGAGCGTGGGAGTCTTTACGATATGATGGCCAAGGCCTCGTATTTTCGCACCAGATTCTCGAACAAGGTGCTGTGGGAGATTTGGGAGTGCCGTAAGTGTCATCATGTCTTGTTTTTTTTTCAAGGGAGAAGAAACTGGTAGCTGATTCTTTATTTGCAGTGGTGAAAGGCGTTGTTTCGACAGCATTGCAGCCAGATGCAGCACAGAGATGGGGTCCTGAGGGTCTCGATAAAGTATTGGACTCGCTGGACGATGTTCGAAATACTGATGAGCTCCTTAGGATCTGCACATTAATTGACAGCCACGACGTGCATTTCGATCTGGAAGAGCAAAATAGTATGTACTCACCTGATTGTTTGCTATCTTTGACATGGCTAACGCAAGATGAATAGTTCTCCTTTCTGAAGATGCTCAGCACTCTCACCATCCGATTTTCAAGGTGAGCATGAGAGACAGCGCAAATATTGGTTTAGTTGAACTGACATGTATATTCGACTAGCTTCACGATTTCGGAGAATTCAGCCATAGAATGAGAGAGTGTTGGCAGCAGTGGAAAGAGGCCGATTACTGGAAAGTGAGGAGGTGTCCCAAATCCAACCGCACTCCACCGGTAAGTATTATCATCCGCTCGTTCTCTGCAATGATCAGAGTTGAGAATGAGTGCTCATATGACTATCAGGAAACGATCTCAAAAGAGTGGGACAAAGTCGATCTAAGTCATCCGGGCCCAGTATCAAGATTCACCGGCGAATCCTTTGATCCTCAGCATAATGAAGTTGCTGGACGATATGGCACTTGGACAAACATCTTTACTATTGCAAAAATTGTAAATAACCCCATTTCTCTTTTCACAATCTCATATTGCGCAGTATCACGCTAATCAGACTATTTCATCTAGATGGAGGCCATCATCACAAGGAATTGGGTAGGCCACCCGTTAAGCACGATGGAATACACGGCTCAGGACCGAAGATGCACAGGCGGCTCATACGGCTGGCGCATATGTAGAGAGTCACACGCCTATATCGAAGCCGACCTCCTCGATCTCATTATGCAGTGTCAGTTCGAGAAACCAGCGGATCGCCCCCAACTAGCCTATCTACTGAGAAAGATCTGCGACCGCAAGTATCGTGGTTTCCAGGAATTGGATCATGAGACACGGACCTTTTGGGATGACTTCTGGGCGCTCACAAAAACGAGTCCGGTTCCTCTCTCACAGGGTCCAATAGTTGAGGTTCCAGGTCTAGCGAATCAAGGCAATGGCGGCTTTCCCAATCCTCAGGGGACGAACCGCAATATTTCGCCTGAGAATCCGCATGTGGCCACTCTACGACGCAAAAGCCGCCGATCGCCACTCAGTGACTCTTCGACGGATACGCCTATATATCCTCGTCCACAGACAGCTTTTGGTCACCGTTCAGGGGCAGGGGGAACTAATCCAGCAGACATCACGCATGTAGCCGCTCTACGACGGAAAAGCCACCGATCACCACTCAGTGCTTCTTCCACGGATTCACCTACAGGTCTTTACCCCCAACCGGCTTTTACTCACGGCTCACGGGCAGCGAGAACTAATCCAGCAGTCATTACGCGGGTGCCCTCTCTACGACGCAAAAGCCATCGATCGCCACTCAGCATGTCTTCTACGGGCTCATCTATACATCTCAGCCACCAAAGGCCTTCTATGTTTGGCCAGACGGGAGCTGGTCCAGCGACTAATCCACCGATTTCTGCTTTAGGGACGCCCGTAAGAGAAACTAATCAGCAGAAACGCAGCTCGAGGGCTTCTTCGCGGTCGGAGGGTACAAGAAGTGGTCGGCGAGATGCGAAGAAGCGGAAACGAGTCCAGTTTGGCAGGTTTCCAGCGTCAACAGGTCAAACTATTATGACGTCTGCAGGTAATGCTATGGATATCTCTATGGATGATGGCCCAGAAAGTGCAGGCATGGCAGGTATGATGGATTTGGATGGGGATGAGGATGAAGGAGAAGGTGAAGCTATGGATGAAGATGAAGAGGATGAGCTTATGGGTGAGGATTCTTGGTAAGTGGGTGAATACATGGTAAGTTGTGATTCAGTATAATTGAGTAGGCATATAGACATTTTTCCATTTGTTAAGAGAATTTTATACCCCAGTTGTTTTTATAAAGTCATACATCTGCTAAAAGTCAAAAGAACCACTCTCGAATCGAATACGCACGCCATCCTTTCATCCCTATATACATTACACATTTCTATACATTAATATTCAGATAATTCTTTTTCCAACATATGATCCCCCTACTGCCACCCCTTTGTCCTATACGCGCACTCACAGGTCCCCATCTCAGCCTGTACATCCGCAATCACAGTTCCTTGCGAATCCACACACTGCGGCACTCCCAGCGTAGCATTCTTCTTCTCTGAAATCTCCACCAGTCCCGTCCAGTTTCCATACCCCGTTCGTTTCTGGACTGAACTGTAAGGCTGCTGTGTTCCGCGTTTCGTCCAGAGTGTGGCTTCGTAGGTGGTGTCCGTGTAAGTACACTTTGCAGCACGATTAGTCGCCGTAACTGGCGGCTGAAAAGTAACATCTAGCGTGAAAGAAAACGTCACTCTCTCGTCTTCGTTGCCGCCATCGAGAAGAGTCAAAGGGATATTCGAAAATGACGAAACTATAGGATCGTTGGAGGAAGAAATCACGTATCCTGAGCCCGACTGCGTAATGTTCCAGTAAAAGCGCAACACATGGTCGCTGTTGGGGTAAAGGCAGCTCCAGGTACTTGGACTGGATGTACATGCTGTAGATGAGTCTTGAAGCAGCGTGTCGATTGCGAATGCGCCTGTTGGCAGGTTGGAGGCGAAAGTAGTTTGACTACCGCCTCGGCTCTTGTGGACTGATCTGTAGCACCCAATGTCAGTTTTTCTTTTTTAAGTATGAGTACTGCTTTTTTCCCGTACGTGTATCCGTATATCACCCACTTTGCAAAAGATTATATAGAACTCACGCCTTTGTAAGACCAAGCGAAAGCCCAACAGCAAGCCCAACGAGAACCACCAGAATTACAGCCACAATGAGGATCAAGTGGCATCTCCTCTGCGTACTATTTGGTTTCCAATTCTCATCATCCCATTGACTATCTCCTGAACGAACCGGCGGCGTCGGCGTCATCTGTCCAACAACAGTGTCCTCATCACCATCGTCGCCTTCGTCCTTGCACTCGGCTGGAGTCAGAACTCTTGGAGGCATATCCTGAAACCCAATCACAAACGGTATAGTTACTCCTTCAGCAGGAGGACCCATGCTTCGTCGGGGATTCTTGGTCGGTACGCGTAGGATTGCTGGTGGTGGTGTTGTTGGTGATGTCGACATGGGGACTGCATTGCTGTCTTCGTTGATGACGGGCATCTGGCCGACTGAAGCAAGTGAAACCCTCGATCCGGCTCGCGTATGAAATTTTGGTGACTGTGACATGGTGGATATATATAACGGGACGTAGAGGGGGTAAGTGAGGAAGAATGTTCTCCAATTAGCCGATATCTCATAAATGATCAGAACATCTGAAGCAGATAAGACAGCAGCAAGCAGAGACAAAAAGTAACGAAAAGAGGAATCACGACAAAATCACACACGGGACCAAGAATAAACTTGCTCGCTGCTACTACCCCTATCATATATACTCTTATCACAAACAAGTGCAATGTGACTCTCGTCTAAGACACCCACCAGTGAGTCCCACGAATCCAGAACAACAGCCACACAACCCAGCTTTTCTTTTCTTTTCTTTTTTTACTTACTTCGTCTATCAATTACAATTAGTTTATAATTTAAACCGATCAAGGTCTAGAAATTCAGTCCGGTCAGCCACCAAGCTCCATCCCGAATGCAGGGCAGATGTTAGGATGAGCGTACGGAGTATAGCACATGCAGGGAGAAAAAGAATCGCCTCTCAGCTCACCACGCCGTTTGGGCCAGCACGGCCCAATCCGTGGTGTTTGTGCCGCTAGTCAAGACGGCTTCCGACGCGGGAAATGGGGATTGACTTTTTTGTCTTAGATATACTTTTCTAAGTTCATCTTACGTTGGGGTGGTTTGGGGTGTAATTTGGGGGCGGTTCTCCTATACGGGCCTATTCACGGACAGCATCATCCATCATAGCTTCCCTCCTATAGCATCTCTCTCATGATTCAAATACTTCTAGGTTGTCTTGTGCTCTTGTGGTATAAAACAAATGAACTCGCCGGAACAAATCATCCGAAAATAAATCATCACCCAAGATCCAAACCTCAAAAGAAGACTGGACAAATATCATGGACCACAGTCTAGATCGGACCTCATACCGCCTCGTGCACCTCCCAGCATCCCAAAAGAACACCCAATGTCTCACAATAGCGCACCGAATGAGACAAACCAGCGTGAGAAGCTGAACAATTGCCTATTTTTAATTCAAAAAACTGCCTCGGTGTGTATGCTTCCGCTCTAGGTAGGATAAAATAATACATTGTATAGAACTGGGCATCACGTATAAAAAAATCAAAAACCAATCTCCGCCAAACACATATGAAAAGAAAAAAAGACCCATCCATGCACTCATGTCTCTCATGCAAGTCCTCCATCGCCCTTCCCCCCTCGACCTGTTCCTCGTACTCAGCTTGCATCTCGTCGTCAACGCCGATATACGACGGTGCGTCAAGCAAATCGCCCTTGTCCGTCCACACCGCCNGCCGGCTCCTTTCAGGCCTCGACCTGTTCCTCGTACTCAGCTTGCATCTCGTCGTCAACGCCGATATACGACGGTGCGTCAAGCAAATCGCCCTTGTCCGTCCACACCGCCGCCAGCTCCCTCTCAATCTCGTCTCGCCGCTTCTTCAGCTCGTCGACTTGCGCCAGGCGTTCGCGCAGCTCTTGCACCTCCTTCTCGACCTGCATCTTCTCGCGCTCCGTTCCGATGCGCTCGAATTCCCAGCTGTCGCCCTGGTCGCCGACGCCCAGCTGAAGGTTGAAAGTGTGGTACTTTTTGAGAGAAGCCCGCGTCGAAATGGTAATGAGAGCTATAGGTAGACTAGTTAGTCCAAAGTTCCATCTTCATGGAACAAATGCAGGATTACTCACTAATACCCCTCTCCTTGCACGTTTCGTACAGTAAACCCTCAACGTCACTCGAGACAGCACTGGTGCCCTCGTCGATAATGGCATACTGCGGCTCATGATACAAAAGGCGCGCAAACTGCATCCTCTGCTTCTCGCCCCCGCTGAGCACGTCCTTCCACTCCTTGCGCGTGTCCCAGCCTCCCTCCCGATCTGGCAAGTAGCCAAGGCGGGCCGCTTCAAGGATTTTCTGCAGATCCTGCTCAGACTTGCGCTTCTCCCGCATATCCACGTGGCCGTCGGGATAGATGACCTGATCTCGAAGAGTACCGGGGCTCAGGTACGGCCGCTGGGGCAGGAACATGATGCCGTCTTGACCCATGCTCTTCGGTCGACTAACCAATCCCCGGTAAACGGGCCACAGGCCAGCCAGGATCCTGGAAATGGCAGTCTTGCCAACGCCGTTCGGGCCAGATATCTAAGAAAAGGGGAAGTAATCCGTCAGTCGGTGTTCAAGCAGCAACGAAGACAAGGCACAGCTTATACATACCAAAAGGTGCTCGCCTCTTCGAACAATCATCGATAAAGAGTCCAGCAGCTCCTCTCCGCCCTGGGGCCAAAGGCCTGGGGCAACAACCGGCACCTGCTCAAAACGAACACCATCAAATCCCTTCTGAATCGTTCCCTGGACGTCAGATAGAGAGTAGAGTTCGCTCTGTCCACTTCGGAGGTAGTAAGCGTTAGCATGGACCCGGTGAAGAGTCGAGATGAGTGTATACACGCGACTAGTGTATCCAGCCAGCTCGGCAAGGTCTTTGATGGAGTACATCATGCGGCCGCCTGCGTCGGCCAGTGAAAGCATCAGCCGCTTGTTTGTGATGAAGCTCTTCATGCGGTTCCGCTCTCTGTGGCCCTTCTCGCCGCCCTCGCTCATCTCAGCGGCACCGCCGACGCCGCCCCAGGCTGGCAGGAAGACGGGCAATGAAGCAAGCAAATAGCCGTAGGCACTCCAGCTATACTTTAGGATAAAGTCTTCCAAGATGTTGTAACGAATCTTGAGCATGTAGATGCCCTCCATCCAGCTCTTGAGAGACTTGTACTCCTTATTTAAGAACGTCTTCTCCATTTCCGCACCGCCGTAAAAGGCTACTTCTTCCGCATTGGCAATCAGACGAGCGTGCAGACTGCGGAAATCTCCTTCTTTCCGGCCCTCGACCGCTTTCAGCTTGCCAAACGGCGGAGACAGCTTCCGCAGAATGCTTGCGGTCAGGAAGTAGTTGCTCATCAGACCTATCCAAGCCAGCGGGCCCAGGGATCGATAAAGCTGGAAGCTAAAGACGCAAATATCCACAAAGGGCTTGCCCAGTGATGAATAGAGATTGGCCGCCGAGGCACAAAATAATGTAAGGTCCTGGGTGATGAACTGATCTGCTCCTTGTCCAACGCCTCCGTCTAAATTAGACAATTTATAGTAATTCAAATTTTCGTTCAAGTATATGTCGTGGATATACCGAGTAAGCCGAGTTCGGAACGCAATCGATACCTTTGACTCGAGAAACTTGATCATGGCATTCGTGTAAGAGGCAAATGTGCCCAGCCCACACCACTATAGAGAGGGTTTCAGTTAGAATTCAGGTTATAGATGATGGGAATCTTTAGCAGGGGAGTTGCGGGAAAGCATACCTTTACAATACCCCACAAGAAGGCCTTTCCACGGCCAGCGACAAGATCTCGAACAAGCTCACCGTCCAGGCGAGCTACCACTAGTGATAGATATGTCCGTACCATCAAAAAGACGCCATGGCTAATGAGCAGACCAGCCTCTTTGCTAGACCACCGCGGAATCATGATGCTCATAAGGCTAAGGAACTGATGCAGAAAGGCCAGGTTCAAGCCAGGCTTGGTCTGGGCAGAAGGAACCGTACCATCGCCAAGGCCAGATACTCTCGGCGGGTTGAGAAACAGCCGTCTATGAGCCTCAAAGGTCAGAGGCTTCGTAGTGTTGATGACCACTTTAGAGGTGCCGTCCTTGTAAGGGACATAGATAGTTCGAGAGCCATCCTTGTTGTGTAGCCACGAATTGGTGCGGACCAGCTTGCGGCCCTGCTCATGCTCGTGCCGCCGCTTCTTCCACCACCGCCTTCCGCCCTCTGCGCCGAGGATGATGGACATGGCGAGCGAGAGCGTGGCGAGGGTGCGTGTGGTTCGCGACGTGGACCGCAGCCTCTTGCCCAGGATGCCGGTCCATTTCTCCAGGAATTCGGCCAGCGCATCCTCCGCCGCCGTCCTGCGCAGGTTTGACTGCGCCGCCATCGTTTTTGGAGTAGCCGGTGCGGACGCTGGACGTGCTTCTCGGACACCCCAGGCGTCGCAAGTCCCGTCTAGACGGAGTCGGGGTTCATCAAGTCGATCGTATGCGCGTGTGGGAAGATGTTCGTTTAGCAGCAAAAGAAGCAGCGCATCAATCGTGTTTCTAACAGAGCAGCCGCTGATAAAATGCCATCAGCAGACGTACAGGGCGATAATCGTGTCGTCTATCGTTGGCGGGCGGGTGTTGGGGAGAGGATGAAAAGCGACGACTTGGACTGGACATGTGAAGCCGCGCCCAGCTGTCCCGAGGCCCAGCCTCAATCCTCAATCCCGAAATGGAGCAATGACGGAACCGCCCCAGAACAGCCACACGTGACTCCACACTGTGGGGCCAGACTCTGGCTTGTCTGGGGAAGCTTGGCGATTGTCGATTAAAAGACAAAAAGAGAAAATGCGATTTGGTACACTTTTCTATAGATATTGTCATCTTGCATGTCAAATCTCTTGCGGGTATGATACATATCTAGGGTAACTAGTATCAAACACTACATCGTACAAGAAATATATCAACCCGCGGATGCATGCGCACGGTACCTCTTTCGTCTCGTGCTTTTACACAACCACCAATCCCAACTCTACGGAAAGCACATGCATCCGTCTTCGAGTTCTAATCGCAGCTCGCCCAGGCTTTCCCGACTGATGACATTCCTTCTCGTCCGGAGCCGCCGGATAACATCTTGATAATGCCGGAATTCATCGCCGGACCCTATCAGAGCGTGTTCGTCATGTACATCAAGCCGGCAACCATGATTCTTATAGGCCACGGCTTCCCAGGCCTTGACGGCGTGTGAGTCAATGGTCAAGTTCCAAGTGCTGTGCCACGCTATGTAGGCTTCACCACGCTGCCCATGATACTCAAAAATGGCAGCGTGCCCCGGGCCACCGTTCCATATTTCCAAGTTTTGAAGCATGGGCATCGCAAGTGCTGCATCGCCAGCGGCCTTGAGCATGCCATTGATCTCCTCAGAGCTTCGCTTAGAATCCAGATACATCGATGTCAGTGTCAGGGATCGCAAGGCCTTCCAAGTCCACTCTCGCTTATACGCTCGGAAGAAGTCGTTCGCTTCGACGAGAAATGACGCCGAAAGACTCTCAAAGTCGACGCTCCTCTTTGCCAAGGCTGCGCCAACGAAGGGGTTTGCTGTTCGTGCCGATGCACTTTGCGCCGGATCTATTGCCGTCAAAAGTCCCGCCTGTCCATTTTGGCGATCTTCCAAAAGCGTGACGTGTTTCAGTCCTTTTGGCAGCGAGCCTTTTATAAGATTTACATAGCCTGTCATTTTGGGGGTCATGGTTAGCTCATCAGCTCATCCGCATATACGAGCGAAGCCTCGACATACCTGCATCAACAAGGTCCTGCACCGTATCTAGGGACTGCTGCCACGGCTCAAAAATCAGATCCTCCAGATGAGGAAACTTGGAAAGTATCTGGTGCAGCGTAAATGAAGAAACCCGCCGGCGTGTGTGTCTTTTCATAATGAATCTTGTTACCAGATTCAGCTGGGGAAGGTTCTGGTAAAATCGGATGTGAACAGATCCACCAAATATCTTGGAAATAGCCCCTTCGAGGCCGACCTCGTGTGTCCAGGACAGTCCTTTTTCCAGCCCTGTTGCAGTGACTCCTCTGGAGACGTACTTGGGGTCGCTCGGTGAATGGATGCTCATCTCCAGAGCCATGCCTTGATAGCTCGGTCGGACCTTCTGAAGCTCCTTTTCCCAAGACTTGAGCACGCGAAAAAGGTTTCCAACGGCCAATTCAATGATGTCGTTGTTTGCTGCTATATCTTCCATTCGTTCCGGTCGTATCACCTGCTCGGAATTACCCCAAGTGCGGTATTCATTGATCTCGATGCGAAGACATATGTGTCTAACATAGGGTTTGCAACGTTTTGGGATCTTATCCAGGGCATCCAGGTCGACTTGGGAGAGAACTAGGCGCCGGAAATTGGCCTTTTCAAAGATTTTCTGCCATGCCCTGCAGACAAGGGCGTAGTTGGTCAGGCCGTATGTGCTGTCGACGACGTTGTGGCGAGGATCCTGTGCCAGAGTCTCCAGCACCTGGAGTCTCATCTCCTCCGGAAGACGGCTCCACCTCGACATTGTGATATAAAATCAAGTATCAAATTCTTATATAGGGGATTCAGGGTAGTCGGGTGGGTGATGTGATGGTGCGATGAATTTTCAGCGCTGAGATGACGATTACATGGTAAAGTGGGTGGGAGCTCAGGTGGTATATAGACAAGAAAGGCGTCAGCCCATTGTATCTGGACCTCTTTTCTGATCTTTTCAAATCAAACGGCAAGGCTTTTTTTCCATCCTTTGTTTTGGCTTTTGCGTATGTGTGGCTCTCAAGGTTGAGGCTACTTAGGCTTTGCTGCCCGGATGACTGTTGGTGTAAAAATCCAAATTTGTTTGTGAGAAGCTCCGAATGCGCTTGTACTGGAATAGCCACAAGCGGCCCCACAATCCTAATCTTCATCCAGATCCGGTCTCCGGAGAATTGTGCCAGATGCTGATACTTTGCAGATACAGCCAAAGTACTGCTGAAGCCACGCTGTTGCGGCACGTGTTGCGTTGTAGTGTACGGGTAGGACTCCAGTTTTTACGCCTTATTCATATTGCTTAATTTTGTTTTGCCGTGGCGCCATGTATCTCGAGAAGGGGAAGCGCTTGCTTTGAATGGGCACAAGTGGCGTGGAAATTGCCAAATCTACGGACTTCATCTCTTTCAGATGCAATCACCCCCACGCGCCTAAACCGGTCGCAAGATCTACTCGTATATGTCAACATAAAAAACAAATATATATAAAATAGAAAACGAATAATAATACTCCATCGAGCCGCACATACCAGGGACCCAGTAAGTAATATGCACGACTGATCTTGTTCTCATTGATTCTTCCCTTGTCGACAACCGCCTACCCTGCAGACAGACCGACAAACTCGGGGGCCTAAAATTAGAAATTAGCACAAAGCTTGTCCAGGAGGCTCAGGCACCTAATCTTGCGAGAGTCATCGATAGCCAAATTTGCAAGCCCTGGAAAAGCTCCATAATGCTACTGGACACTGGATACCGCTACGACTAGCAGATGTGACGGAGGTGATCCTAAGGCACTAGCTAGGTACCAGGTAGATGAGGACAGGATCATGCATTGGATTGGATCCATTGGATTGATTCCTCTGTGCAACGGCAAATCTGCAGCCACCAGAGAGCTGATGCCGCGAATGCCTGCTTGTGTTGGAGCCGTAGTAACATGGAAGTACTGACCAGGTAGGACGAAGCCGGGAAACAATGCGCCCGGGGATACAAGGCGGGCCAGGCATTTTGCGCGAACAGCTGGCCACATGCACGGCCGCAGCATGTGTGACGACTTGCCGGGCATGCCAATCAAACAGACTCCATCCGATGCCGTACATGTCCGTACATGAATAGGTATCCATTCCCGTTTATGCGTGGCTGCTCCGTAATCAGAGCCAGCGTCCGGGGGACCAGGCCTGATGCTTCCATGTCCTGGGAGCATGCATGCCGCCAATACGAAGCGACGCACGCTTCATTCACCGAGGGCCTCGACGCCATTTTTGCTCCAACGACGACTCGCACAGCGGGTAGGCTAGTGCTGCGACTGGGTACAATGTGAACGATTCGAAGCCTGGGCGCCAACACGGCCAATCACGAAGCCCATGTCGGGGCTCTTCACTCGGCACGCACAGCGAGAGGGGGGATGGCGCGCCCAGGTTTCTGGGGGAGAGGCTCGTCCCTTTTTTTTTCCCTTTCCCCCCTTCCATGTTCCCTTTTGTCTGCTCCAGTTCCAGCTCCAGAGCCGTGATTTGCTTGACGGCAGTGGCCAGTAGGAGCTCGGGGGCCCAGCAGCAGAGAGATCTTGACCCACCGACGGACCACGCCATGGGGCAGCCTAACGAGAGGCCATGGATGGATTTGGCGCCTGCGAACATGCCGTGAAGCTCTCAGCTCATCTGCGGTACTCGTACGTATTCGGTACGCGCGCCGTAGGTGGCATCCTACACTCCGTGCCTCGTACCTTTTCGTATTGTAGCATCCAATGCCTATGGATGGGTTGTCGGTATATTGAGGCTCGTAGAGGGGCCCTGTCCTGTCCTGTCCTGTCTTGCGCTGGGTCTGGCTGGCTCTCCCGGACGGATGGCCTCGACTGGCAGGCAGTGGCAGGGAATGGAAGCACAGCCCAAGCCCAAAAGACCTCGAGCCAGCGACAATTTGCCCTGTCGCAGCGTGTGAGCGGGCCGCCGTGCAGAGCGCCGGCCGTAGCCACGCTTCTCCTAAAGAGGAAGACTGAGAAGCCCACAATTGCAGCGTTGGACGGTAAGATGAGAACTTGGCGGCCGCCATTAGCGGAGATTGGGACAGGGCGCCATGCGCTCGCGATTTACTGGCTTAACAGTGGCCACGGTGAGCGGTACTGTTATCGCCACTGTGCGTGGGCATGGGACGACGCTAAACAACACAAGACACAGTACCTGGTCAGAGCTGGTAGCCCACTGAGCTTGCGATATCACAGCAATGCAACAGTGCCAGCAGCCATCCGCGCACCGTCCTTGCTTGTTCCCCCACTAACGCCCAGCAGGTCGCTAGAGCCGTTGGCTAATCTCGACAAGCACTCCACCCACACCTTAACCCCCCCAAAAAACTCCCCCAGCCGTCCCTGCACGCCGGACCATCCCCGACCTGGCTCAGCCAAACCATCACGTTTAAAGGCAATCATCTCGCTTGAGCCCTCACCTTTCTTCGGCCGGTACGTCGTTGCCGTCGTCGCCTCGCCTCTGCATCGTCCTCCTGATCGCGACAGAATCGCCCTCACCAACTGCCTCGGCGCTGACACCGGCTGTTTGCTGCCACGCATCGCTGCCACGACTATTTGGCGTCACGGCCGCTCCTCGCCTTCGTCTTCCTCTCTGCCCGAACTTGCGACCAAAAAGAGCACGGGCGCCCATCGTCGAACTCCCTAAATCTCCAGTTCTGTCTGTCGGGCGCGTCTCAGCTCCTCGCCAACCCCCGGTAATTTTTGGTTGCAAAAGGGCATTCGGAGCAACGAACGGCACGGTCGCTGCCAAACGCCCCTTGTGGGCCGACATTCTTTTCTCTCTTTTATTTTCAGTCTTCTTCTTTTATTTTTCCTTCCTTTTTTTCTTTTTGATTGCGTTGGAAGCTTGGAAATTCAAGCCAGCTCAGCTGTCTGAGTGTTTTTGAGGTACGTGCAAGATGCATTTAGCAGCTGCGCTAAAGCCGCGCGCAATTTTACTTCCTCTTGTCCACAATTTGTTCATGGGGAGCCTCTTTGTTGCCCGGTTGGGACGCATGTGTTTTTAATGACGGGGAGCGAGTGCTTTGGCGTTGTCCATCCGCGATGCCTTCGCAATACCGTCGCCCGGCCATACCGACCAGCATCGCATTTTTGTTGCAGCCCAACCGAGCTTGGAAGCTTCCGACTAAGCTTATATCTCCAGGCGCACTGTGACGTCGCGTCTTGGCTTCTTTGTTGAATGGGGGAAAAAAGCTGACTGACTCAACATAGCGACAATTCACAATGTCCGAAACAGCCGTGGCAACGACCGCGGTCGTCGACTTTAAGCAGGACAATATCCCGCTTAGTTCCGGGTCCGGCAAGGAGAAGGATATGCTGTTGCCGGAGGACGGAGAGAGCTCCAGTAAGAGCCGAGGGCTCCTCAAGGTGCCGTCGCGATCGTCATCTCAACAGCGGAACCAGTCTTCGCCGACTACGACTGGCTTGAGCGGCGCTACCATCACCGATCCACGAAGCAGTATCGGCAGCAGGTCCAGAGAATCCAAGGGCAGCTTTTTGGATAGACAGCGAAACGGCAGCTCCAGTGGCGAGGCTGAACCTGCTCGCACAGCCGACATTTCCCAGCCCAGCTCTCCGTCCGCAAGCGAGCAGAAACGAAAGAGGAAGAAGAGCAGTGGGTTCCTGGCTCTGTTAGGATGCTGCGTCGTGCCCGACTCGGCAAACGCCGTCGACTCGCCTCAGGGGATTCACAAACTGGATAAATTGCCCCCTCGACCGACAACAGCCAAGTCAAGAACACACACTCCTCAAGACCAGACGCCGGCGAAGCAGAGCAACGAAAAGCCCCCCGTTCCAGCAACCACCGCACCCCAGGGCAAGGACCATGGTATCTCGTCGAGCAGCGCTCAGGACCAGACCAAGTTGGAGGAACAAACGACCCAGGAAGCGAAGCATGTCGCCCCCGCCGTTACAGTCGACCCCCCAAGCCCTCTGCCTGAACCGAACGAGGAGGTTCGAGAAATCGAAGAGGTGGTTGACGACGTCGAGATGCGAGATGTGCCAGCGGTGGAAGAGGCCCATGAGGTGCAGCCTGAGGTAGTACGACAAGAGGCTCACGAAGTCGCGCTCCCTCCGCCTCCACCTGGCCCTGGCCCAAGTCCCCTAGTGACTACGGCGCTTCCCCTTACAGATGAGGGCCCTTCAGCACCAGAGCCTCAAAAATGGCTATTACCCCCCATTACCCCTGAACTCAAAGGAAGAAAATGTCTAGTTTTGGACCTCGACGAAACCTTGGTCCACAGTTCATTCAAGGTTTGTTCTCCAATTTCGAGCCGGGCAATACTAGAAGAAGAAAGAATCGGAAAGCTAACCAAAGTGCCAGATTCTTCATCAAGCGGACTTCACAATACCGGTTGAAATTGAAGGCAATTATCATAACGTGTATGTCATTAAGCGACCTGGTGTAGACGAGTTTATGAAGAGAGTTGGAGAACTTTACGAAGTAGTGGTCTTTACGGCATCAGTCTCAAAGGTAAGCAGGCTCCGACCATGGAAATTGACTGTGCTAACGTATACGTGTGTGAACAGTATGGCGATCCTCTGCTAGACCAATTAGATATACACAATGTTGTTCATCATCGTCTATTCCGAGAGAGCTGCTACAACCACCAAGGAAACTATGTCAAGGACCTTTCACAAGTTGGGCGAGATTTGAAGGACACCATCATCATCGACAACTCGCCAACCTCCTACATATTCCACCCCCAGCACGCTGTTCCAATCAGCAGCTGGTTTTCCGACGCGCACGACAACGAGCTGCTCGACCTTATACCCGTCCTTGAAGACCTCGCTGGCCCCAACGTTGCCGACGTCAGCCTGGTTCTTGATGTCACTCTCTGAGATACCACACACCAAAAATTTCCTTCAGTCTCTTTTATTTTCCCTTTTCAGCAAAAATTCAACAGCCCGATCTGCAGCATTGCCGTCATAGCGGGAGGCGTTTGGTTGAAATCTCTTCGTTTCCGGGTGTAGATGTACAGTCTAATCTTATATAATCAGCTTTGATCTATGGAACGCAGCTCCTCAGCCTGCGGAAATTTTCCTTTTTTATTCTCAGTCAACAAAAGACCGAGCAAGGGGTGAAAGTCGGCTAGGGGTTTGAGTTGACCAGAAAGATCTTCCAACTGACGCCGCAATCGCATCTAAACGACTTGAAGAACAAGAAAGACGGGAAACGCTCCAAGAAATCAAAACCAAAAAGGGGAGGAGGCTCGAAACATCGTCTTGGGATAAGAGCAGGTCATTCTTTCCTATAGATTAGGGGTCAATTCTCGGATCTTCACTACGTGGGCAATGGGAATTGGAGCCCGCGGTGGGCTTCCTGTGGATACGTCTCCTATATCGAGCGTGTTTTAACAGACTGTTGGCAATATCTGGGCTGTTTGTGCTGTAATTTTTCTCTGGCAAGCTTGGCACCTTTCTCTCTCTCTCTCTCTGTCTCTGTCTCTCTGTCTCTATCTTCTCTTTTTACTTCTTCCCTCTTCTTTTTTTTTTCTTCTCCCTCTTTCTGTGATTCCCTTTGTGTTTTTTATTCTTTTTCTTCTTCATCTTTGTTTTTTTTTTTGCTGTCTTGCATTGTTTTTGAACTATACACATACCACGCAGCGAGCCTGCAAGCAGGGTTTGAAGGATGGCAGCGAGTGATGCGGAGTCTGTTGAGATGGAGGCGAACATGATTAGCGAAGGTTTGGAGGTTGGCTGAGGGCCTCCGTTATACATAGTCTCCCCCAAATTGTAAAAATACCCCGAGCCTCTATGGCCTTAGTAATGAATCAATGTGAGATACTCAGAATGTATGTTGATTGGGGAGCGTTGCGTTGGGTTTATTTGGCTACTTGGCGATAGGTTGTCCGGCTTTTGCTTCGTCTTTCTTTCTTTCCTTTTTCTTTTTATTGCTGATTGAATGCCACGGCTGCCTACAGTATCTTTGTATTTTTGATTTTTGCTTTTCTTTATGTTCGTGCTTTCAGCTGGTCTGCAAGCATATCTATCTGCTTCATATTTCGTGTATTGTCTGTAACTTATAAAGTCTCCATAATACAAACATCCAATGCTGGAATGGAATTCGATAGACTGCGCGCGCTAAAGTGGGTGGTGAGTGTTTTCTGGGGTAACGTAACGGAGAAATGTTCAGCCGCCGCTGTTGCATTTCTGTGAATGTGGCCTTAACTCTGTCGCTGGGGCCACAATTTCACCAGCTGGCCGCGCCGAACTCCAACCTTTCTATTAAAGTACATCTTCTTCATACTCTGTCAATTCGTCCCAGGAGTCCTGCAGTGATTCTCGGTCGATTGTGTCACAGTCCTTCTAATACCCAAAAACACACTCCTTCACAATGGTATGCGCGTCTTACTCCCTCCAACTCTGTACTTGCTTTGATTCATCGATTGGAAGTCGATTGCGGCGCTGGCATCGCGTCACAAGACCGATGAGTTATGCGCTTTGCATGACTATGGCTTTGCGCACGGCGGCAGCAGATTGGATTCACAAGCATTGATGGAGTGCCTCAAGCTAATATACGCAGTCTTCTCGTCCTTCTTCACCCGCCAATGGCCCCGCCGCGGCCAGCGGTTCCAGCATCAGCCGACCTTCCTCTCCCACTCCTCCCGGCGGACCTCGAACTGCGATCCGTCGACGAGCTGCCGCTGATCAGAAGGAGAAGCTTGCCAATGCCAGGCCAAGCAGCACACGGGCCGCTGGCGCTGGCGGCTCCAGCAGCACCATGCTGAGTACGTTTACCCCAGATGGAGCTATATAGTTGGCTCAGGTTGGCAATTGTGTGTGTATCGCTAACAAATGCCACTCGTAGGACTCTACACCGACGAATCTCCCGGATTGAAGGTTGACCCTGTTGTTGTCCTTGTCCTGTCTCTGGTTTTCATCTTCTCCGTTGTTGCTCTGCATAGTGAGTCAAATCCCTCTAACGCTTAAAGACGCAGCATATACTGACTCCAAATTCAAGTCATTGCCAAGATCAGCCGCAAGTTTTCGAGCTAAACACGTTATATGTGGTGACTGAAGTGATGCGAGGGAGAGAGACACGGCGGATGGTATAAGGGCGAAACGGTTCCGCGACAGCAATGGCGCAGGTTATGAAGACCAAATCTAGCTGATGTGGGGTTTGATGTAACAAAAAACAACAACAAAAGGCTTACACCAGTGGATGTATGGATTTGGCGGATACAATGACCTGGCCCCTAATCACCATGGAGTCTGAGCGACCATGATATTTTGTATTATATGAGCAAAACGGTTATTCCAATTTTTTATGCGGTTTTTTCTATTAAGATTGCCTTTTTCTATTCCTTGAGATGATGAGAGTGTTTGCTTGCTGGGTTTTTGTGATTTGTCAGGTTGGATTTCACCCCAGCTGCAGCTTGATACCCGTTACGCAGACGGAGACGACAATATGCCCAAATAGGAATCAATCAAGCGCATGAGCTGCTACGCTTGATCATATTGAACCAGAATGGGACGTAAAAGCCGTTGCGCTGAAACGAATTTAGAACCAGTAGCCTGTGTGTGCCTTGTGCCTTGCGTTACGACAGCTTCTGCGCCTTGGTAGCTTCCCGAGCTCCATAGCGAGAACCAACGCAGGTATTCAATCAATCTCTGCAGTAAATAGGAGCGAACGACTCTCTTAGATTAGATAATCATGTCTTAGCATGCACAAGCAAACGTGTGTCTGCTGCAATTCACAATTATCAATCAATCATATTGCCAGATGCAGGCAAGGTTGGAATGCAAGATTCCATATCACGCGCTGTATCTTGGATGTACTTTGCCCGCCCGAACTGCTATCCAATAGCTAATCACAGCCGCTAGCTTTTGCCTGTGCGACTTCTCGGTTAGTGGGCGCAATCGAGCTAGCGTTCGCTAGGCATAGCACTGACACAGCTGCGGACATGGAGCAGTGCAGCTGTTGCTCATAAACAGGGGGTGTGCCAGTGCCAGTCGGGCTCGATGATATCAATCGCAGGCGAATTCTAGCTGAGGCCTCTCGAATAAAAAGCCTCTCGAATAAAAAGCCACACGTCATCGCCCAACATTTGAAAATCAAGTCTTTAGCCAGTTGGGCAGCTCAGTTCTGTCCTTGTGCTACCGTTACGTCTCTTTGCAATCTGTGACAATCTGCGCACTACCAAGCCCAAAGGTCCAGGTCGCTCAACAATGCTGTCGTATATCTGCAGGTGACTTTATTCGCCCCCAGCTTGTGCCCTCAACCAGGCGCTCTTCGGGCTTCCTGATTTCTCCTCCACGACATCAGCTCTAGCTGGACAGGAAATACTGCATTAATTCTCCCTCGACGACTCTTTTTCAGCCATGGTGTCCCCAGAGATCGAGCGGAGTAAAGGCAGACGGCAGCCCTCGTCCAGACCCCCGCCCGCCTCAGAGGCCATGGTGACGGATGGCTTCGTTCTTCCTACCCTCGATGTTCCTCCCGATGCGCCTCCAGCATATGGAAGCCATCATGACCAGCTTCAGTTCTCACGGACGGGATTCGAGGCCGGGGCGGAGGTAACAGGTGAGCATCAGCTATCACGCTTCCTTGCCCCTCCACGCGCACCGCGATGAACGAGGGGTTATTGGCGTTCTTTTCAATTGATAGAGGGGAGCTTTCTTTCTGACAATGGGATTTTAGGCGACGGGAGAATTAACATTAGCATCAACACCAAGAACAAGAGACTCGCAGAGCTTCTTGCACCAAGCATCGCCAGCCAAGTTGATGCCCAACCATCACTACCACCAGTGTACACATTGCCGAGTCTCACAGGTGAGCCTGGCAAGGAAGCTCCCCCACGACTCAATGTTGTTATCCAAATCGTTGGATCGCGTGGCGACGTCCAGCCCTTCGTTGCTCTTGGAAAGGTCCTCAAAGAAACGTACGGCCACCGAATCCGTATCGCAACGCACGCAACTTTCAAGACCTTTGTCGAAGAGAATGGCCTCGAATTCTTCAGTATAGGGGGAGACCCTGCCGAACTCATGGCTTTCATGGTGAAGCATCCAGGCCTCATGCCCGGCTTAGATGCTTTGAAGAGTGGCGAGATCAGCAAGCGCCGCAGGGGCGTTCAGGAAATGATGCTCGGGTGCTGGAGATCTTGTATTGAGGCAGGAGATGGATTGGGACCGCCGCCCGAACCGCATAGGAGAACTGAGCCCTGGGATCCATCAGCGGGCATGCCTGGAGACCCGAACCATGAGCCGTTCGTGGCTGACGCAATTATTGCAAACCCGCCTAGTTTTGCTCACATTCACGTTGCAGAGAAGCTTGGAATTCCTTTACACATGATGTTTACGTGAGAATACTCTTTTATGTCCTGCACACAAGGTACACGACTAACATGTTGACTAGAATGCCTTGGTCACCTACACGAGCGTTTCCTCACCCTCTGGCCAATGTTCAATCTTCAAATGCCGATGATGTCCTCACTAACTACTTGACTTACACGCTTGTTGAAATGATGACATGGCAGGGACTGGGAGATGTCATCAACCGCTTCCGCGAAAATGCGCTGGATCTCCCCCCTCTATCACTCATCTGGGCCCCAGGGCTTCTCAACAGACTCAAGATTTCTTATACTTATTGTTGGTATGTACTCTGACAAATCAATTGTTTATCGCCTGCTCTTCTGACCACATGCCCTTAGGTCCCCGGCCTTGATCCCGAAGCCAAATGATTGGGGCCCGCACATCGATGTTGCCGGCTTCTACTTTTTGAATCTTGCGTCTTCATATACACCAGAGCCGGACCTTGCTGCCTTTTTAGAGGCTGGGCCCCCTCCGGTGTATATTGGGTTTGGTTCCATTGTGGTAGATGACCCAAATGCTATGACACGACTAATACTGGACGCTATCCACCTTGCTGGCGTGCGCGCTCTAGTTTCCAAGGGATGGGGAGGCCTGGGAGTTGATGCGGTAGGACTACCTGATGGTGTATTTATGCTCGGAAACGTCCCCCACGACTGGCTCTTTGAACGAGTCTCTTGTGTGGTCCATCACGGCGGCGCTGGAACGACCGCAGCTGGCATCAAAGCCGGCAAACCCACTATTGTGGTTCCCTTCTTTGGTGACCAGCCATTTTGGGGAGCCATGATTGCGAGAGCCAAGGCTGGACCCGATCCAATCCCTCACAAAACCTTGACGGCTGAGAAGCTAGCCGAAGCGATCAAGTTCTGTCTTCGGCAAGAGACCCAAGATCAAGCTCAAGCGCTTGGCCGCAAGATTCGAGAGGAGAATGGTGCGGAAACTGGCAGCCGAAGCTTTCATAACCATATCGATATAGATTCGCTTCGCTGTTCGGTGGCTCCCAGCCGAGCCGCAGCATGGCGCCTCAAGAAGACAAAGGTGCGGCTCAGTCCTCTGGTTGCCGCCGTCCTCGTCGAACGGCGTCTCCTCAAATACTCGGACCTGAAACTGTAAGATGAAACCCACTACCTTCTATATGATGTTTACTGACCATTCAGATACCGCCCGTACGAGTATAATACGGAAGATCAGCCTCCTGATCCAATCACCGCGGGCGCAACATCTCTAGTGACCGATATTAGCGACATAGGCATGGCTATAGTTGACATGCCTTTGGATATCTTCAAAAGCCCTAGAAAAGCTAGAGAACGCTGCGACGCGGCCAGTCAAGCTAGTGGTGATGAGAGCGACCCAGAATCAAGGTCCAACTCAATCAAAGGGCGCTCCGGTAGAATAACCCCGACAACCGCCAGCATTGCAGACACTGCAGGCGACCCAAACTCTGCAGCACTGCTTGTCCAGTCTCCCTCATTACCCACTGAAGTCAGTCGAACCCGCTCTCCCACCGCCGGCAGCCCAGGAGGAAGTCGGTCGTCATCCCGCCGAAGGGCGCTTTCTGCAGCTGCAACGATGGAGGCTGCAGTCGGAACGAGCAAAAATGTTGGGCGTATCGTGACTACAGGAGTCAAATCTCCCATGAACTTTTGTCTCGGCCTCGCAAAAGGGTTTAGGAACATTCCACGACTGTACAATGACGATACTGTTCGAGCGGTTGAAAAGGTTACAGACTTCAACAGTGGTGTACGGGTCGCAGGTAAAGAACTTGGATTCGGCCTTTATGATGGCATCTCGGGGCTAGTAACGCAGCCAATGAGAGGGGCACAGAAACAAGGTGCTGCTGGGCTGATCAAGGGCGTTGGGAAGGGCATCGGAGGGCTCATCGCAAAGCCCGCGGCAGGTGAGTGATATGTGTATTCATCTAATCTCTTTGGGATGTACTAACGTCACGTATCAGGATTTTGGGGTCTCCCAGCATATGTAATGCAAGGCGCCTATGCTGAGCTCAACAAATTTTTGTCAAGGAGCGTGCAGAATTACATCATCACCTCGAGGGTTGTCCAAGGAGAACGAGATATGCAGAATGCATCCGAAGGAGAAAAGGCTGATATTCTTTATCGATGGAAACAGGATGCTGATCTGAGAACCTTGTACCAAAAGAGTACAAATAGCCAGGAACCAGAGAATTCTCGAGCCGGATCTAGAAGCGAATCGAGCTCCTGGCGCTTTTCTCCTCAGGAAGGACGACGTCAACTGGTCGCCGCTTTGTCGCAATCACCCTCACGGCAGAACTCGGGCCGGAGAAATAGACGCTCTTCCTCGCCCGCCCCGAGAAATACAGACGCTACAGCCGCTGTTGATACAGAATACGAGGCAGCTATTCGGGCTTCCGTCTTGGAGACTTCGCGCGGAGATGCAGAAGAAGACGCCACGATTGAAGCCGCTATTCGTGAGAGCGTCAAAGCTATGCGACAGCAGGGTTCTCTGCCAGACCCCATTCGTTTGGCCATGGATAGCAAGCATCATGATATTTTTGCGGATGAGGAGTATAAGATTACGGACGAAGAATACCAGGACCTGATTGAGCAGGCCATTCGCGAAAGCATGACAGGACATGTTGGCGACTTTTCTATGCCATCAGCATCTGGTACCCAGGAGCTCGACGCCGTGGATACCGCCATACCAACTCATGGTGGCGAACCTCGTAGCAGTGGCTCGGCGTTGACTCCTACCAGCGACGAGGATGCCGATCTGCAACGAGCCATTGAAGAATCTCGCAAGGCGGCTCCTACTCTTCCACCCCGCACTTCGCCATCCCAAGAACAAGAAGAAGACGAGGATGAGCACTTGCGGAGAGCTATTGAGGCATCTAAAGATGAGATGGAGAGGGCACGGCACGAGAGGACAGAGGAAGAGATTGTGATGGAATATGTCAAGAAGCAAAGCCTCGCTGAAGAAGAGTTTAGGAAACAGCAGCTGGCTAAAGGAAAGGGCAAAGAAGTATCCGAAACAACAAACGACGGCGAGGGTGATGGCGATGATGATGAAGAGCTGAGGAGAGCCATTGAAGAGAGCTTGAAGATGAGCGGCGGAAGTCGATCTGCACCATCGGGCTCTTGAGCGAAATGATGAGAGCCAGAATTTATAAGATGCTTTGGTTTTAGCGATATTTAAAAGTTATACCACAACATGCATGGGCAGTTTAATACTAATAGTTGGCTTACCAACGAAATATCAAAGGTAAATTAATATCGAAAATCATGAAACAAACTATCTGAATCCATCAGGTAGGTAGAGCAACAAAATTAAAGCTCCATGGAATAAATAGCATGCTGTCCGCAGGGTATCTTTTTGCAATATGGTAACGAGTTGATGTGGATATATTTGGATATAGTTCATTAAGTCCTTCGTCATTCTTTTGGACTCTTCGCCGCCTACGTGCCATGCGGGCGTCCCGCTCGATTTGTTGCCCGTGGAGGTTGATATATGTATGCCATGACGCGGGCCAGATGGGTTCGCAGTCTCGGCCGAGTTCCAGACACATCTCTGGTAGCGAACGATCTTACTGGCATTCTTGCCACTACAGGCTGTGAGAATGAGTTGTTGGAGGTGTCTATGAAGTTGCGGCGATGGAATCGGACTGAAGAGGAGTAAATCTGAGTTGCCATTGGCTGGATGGAGGGGTCGTAGTTGAGCGCCTGAAGCGACGGCTCGGCGAAGTGCCCGACCTGGTCCTCATCGTAGTTACACCTATGCAGAGCGTATACATGTCTCGTGTTGTGACAGTCATGATAGAACTCTGCACGAGCTGTCGACAGCAGCAGTATCGCTGCGACTAGCCATACCTCGCTGGAGGCTGACCCTGGTACTGCTGCTGACCCCATCCTGGATTTGCCGGCGGGGAATAAGGCCCAGCTCCGGGGTTGCCGCCGTTTTGCATGGAGACGACATCAGGGCGATTTTTCAGCGGCTGTTTGAAGTTGCATATATGACAGACGACTTCAACGAAGCCAGATATGGTGAAGGGTATGATGGGCTATAATAGTGTTTTAACGTCAGCCATTGGTTGAGTTGAAGCCTGAGATGAAGAAGCCGGTTCCAAAGGTGAGATTGACCATCGATGGAATGATGCGGTGGACTTACAACGAAGCAAAAGGTGAAGAATGGGCGGCTTTTGATGACACGGCCAGACATGTTGCCACAGTTGTGGCACTGGCAGATGACGCCCTCGTAGCCCTTGACTTCGGACCGGAAGGTGTACTGGCCGCAGACGAAGAAGAAGAAGACCATGGCTGTCGTTGTTTTCAAAGATGCACTATACTATGCCAAGTTCTCAATCATGAAAAGGGTCAAGAGAAGAAAAAGGAAAAGAAAATTGAAAGAGAAAAGACACGAGATAAGATGGTATGATGATTAGAAGAAAAAGAGTTGAGGCTGTGTAAATCGAAGAAAAGAAGCGGAGAGCGAATGGGGGGGGAGTACGTATGCGCCAAGCTAATTCTTGGCGGGCGTTGAGTGTGTGTGTTTTTGGCAGGCGCAAATGTCGGCGATGATGCTGCCCTCTTTCCCTTTACCCCACGAGAGACAGAGAGAGAGGCGTTTTGTTTTTCAAGCTAAGAAGCTGTTTTAAAGTCCGTACTGTACCTTTGTGGAGGTACCTGTTGCATCATCACTCGAGGTTTGTTATTAGTGCTTGATCTGTGCAAGTTGTGATATAAGATACAAAGCAACTGTGGTTATAAAGAGATCAAGACAAACTGGAATAGATGGATTTATTTGTTTATTTTTCTGAGAACCTAAGTCTCCCTTGTCTAGCTACACAACATCTCTCTGTCTCTTCCAGACAGCTCAAGGAATGACAATGACCCAGAGACTTGGAGAGCACATGCAGCGGCTGTCTCGATACGGCCTAGCGCCCCCAGTACCTTACACTGCCGACCCCACCACAACCAACGTCCGCTAAGAATTAATTTCTTGCAGCCTGTGATTCAAAAAGCTGCATGTACAAAACTACAAAACTTGATCCTCTTGCGCCTCGCCTCACACAGCCGACAACAGCTCTACTCTCCATCAATTGAACCTCAAATCTTCTCAAGAAACACCATACCAACAGTCCTTGTACTCTCACCAATACATCACCAACAGCAACAACCTCCAATTCGTGATGCCCAGCTAAAAGGGAGGCGACAACCTCAACCACATCATCACCACCATGCTCTACGACCTCAACATCGCCTGGTCCCCGACCACGCCCACCGACCGCCTCCTCCAAACCCTCACAACCGCCCACTCTCTCGGCTTCGCCACCGTCGCCCTCAACCACACCCTCGAGCTGCCCTTTCCAGCAAATCCCACAACGCCCTTCCCAGCTCTCCCATCATCATCATCTTCAGACTCCAACAACAACAACAAACTCCCCCACGTCCTCCACCGCGCCACCCTCCCCCTCGCCGACCCAGCCGCCTCAAACTACCGCCTCCCCTCCCTCGTCTCCGTCTACGACCTCCTCGCCATCCGGCCCCTCACCGAAAAGGCCTTCCAGAACGCCTGCCTCACCCTCGACATCCCCATCATCTCCCTCGACATGGCCCAGCACTTCCCCTTCTACTTCCGCCCGAAGCCCTGCATGGCCGCCGTCTCCAGGGGCGTCCGCTTCGAAATCTGCTACTCCCAGGCTCTCCTCGCCGCCGACCCCCGCGGCCGCGCAAACTTCATCTCCAACGCCACAAACCTCATCAGGGCCACCCGCGGCCGCGGCATCATCATTAGCAGCGAGGCGAAATCTGCTTTCGGCCTGAGGGCCCCCGCCGACATTGTCAACCTCTTCAACGTATGGGGCCTGCAGAGCGAAAAGGCCATGGAGGGGCTGAGGACGATACCGCGGAGCGTCGTCGTCAACGAGGGCATGAAGAGGGATGGGTTTAGAGGAGTTATCAACATCGTCCAGGTGGTCAAGAAGGATGCCGTCGAAGGCGACCAGACCGATGACCAGTCCTCGGCGGCGGAGCAGCCTGGCAAGAGGAAGAATCAGAAGCGCAAAAACGGCGGGGAAGATGCCCAGCCCATTAGCAAGCGAGAGGCGAAGAAGATGAAACTAGCGGCAAGGGCAGCTGCATCTGAAAAAAAGGTGTCATGATATATAAATTTGGCATGGAGAATTGAGGTTGAGACGCTGTGAACGTCTACAGAAATCGTGATAGAGGCGCGAATAGTAGCCATCAAGGGCTTCAAGAGACATGATACCCCCGGATCAAAAGAATAGAGCAATGTCTTGATTTCTCTTACAAAGGCAATTACCCGCATATAAACATAAACATACATGTCATTTTATTTTGAAAGCAAACTGTGACTACAAATGGTATATCATATTCTCTCTAAATTCTCCAAACTCCGTTGCACCCCCAATATTAACTGCATAACACTACACGTCTGTTTTCTTCAATCCCCTAGATTTCATTGTCCAATGATCAGTGTGGGCGCTGCGGCGGCTGCCACTGACGGCGTACCCACTGTTTGGATGGCCACCAGAGCACCCAAGTTCAACGCGCTGCTAAGCTGGTATCCCTGAAGATCGGGGGGCGGCGCAGAGAAAGCTGCAGGTGCGGTCGGTGTTGCAATAGGGAATACGGGGGGAGCTGGCTGTCCGTCTGCCGCGGGAGCGTTGGAAGCAAGGTTTCCGAGGACGAGAGTGTTGGCTGGCGCAGCGGGAACAACGGGAGTGGGCGCGGCTGCAGGCGTAGTTGCAGGCGAAGCTGAGGTCTCGGGAGCAGGTGAGCTCGCAGGGGGAGCCGTAGTTTCAGGGGCAGACGAGCTCGCGGGGCTGGCTGTCGTCTCGGAAGCAGCTGCACTTGTCGAAGTCGTTGAAGTTGTAGCTGATGATGTCGCTGACGTGCTAGCGGTTGTGCTCGTAGGGGGCTTGATGACGGAACTGGAGACCGTGACAGGTGTTGAGGCAGCAGATGACGAGGAATCTGTGGACGAGGCACTTGTCGATGCTGATGAAGCCTGAGAGGTTGTCGCCGCGGCCGCAGATGTCGATGTAGCAGATGATACAGTAGCTTCACTTGTGCTCGAGGTCTCGGCGGAGGTAGACGATGCTGCCGATGAAGCGCCTGCTGCCGAGGATGACAAGGGCAGAGTGCTGAAAATGGGAGAAGGCGTCAAATTCGTGGTATCCGTGGTTGTAGATGACGAAGACGGAGGCGGAGGAGGAGGAGCAGCGCTCGTAGCTGGAGGAGGTGGAACATCGGCTGGTGGAGAGCTGGCAGCAGGAGGAGCCGTGGTCGCCGGAGCGGGCGGAGGGACAGTTTCAGTCGGCGGAACTCCAGGAGCAGAGGTTGCTGGAGGCGGCGGAGGAGGAGGAGGAGGTGGTGGAGGCGCACTCGCTGCCGGAGGGACGGTCTCGGCCGGCGGAACTCCAGGAACAGAGCTTGCTGGAGGAGGTGGCGGGGGTGCTGCTGGAGGGACAGTCACTGCTGGAGGGACGTCCGTAGCAGTATTTGCGGGAGGAGGAGGAGGAGGAGGAGCTGCTGGAGGGGGTGCCGATGCAGCTGGCGGAGGTTCTATAGTACATGTTAGTCTCAGGGCCTCCCTTTCATAGCCGTTAAACCAAGCATCGACGTTACTCACCCAGAACAAACGTTGTCGTCGGCAGCAAAGACGAGGGAATTGGAATCGTGGTGACACCAACGCCGTTGCCGTTGGCATTTGTCGTTGCTGGAATCACGGTGACGCCGACTCCATTGCCGTCAGGATTCGTTGTCGCCGGGACGACTGGAGGAGGAGCTGGGGGCACATCTGTGACTGCTGTTGGGACCGGGTTCTCGACCACTTGAGTAGCTCCAGGAATGACTGTGGTGGTAATCGTAGTTACGGCGGCACCCCCATTTCCATTTCCAAGGCCGAGAAGTTGTCCCAGCTGATCCAAGAAGCCGTCACGTCGTGCTAGATTGCCATTTGCATCTCGGTTCAAAACGGCACCCTAAGAGTTGTGAGTTGCTGAACTATTTGGCAATCCTTTGTATGATATATGCTTACCTGAGCTGCAGAAGAGGCAAGCAGGGCATAAAAGATTGCAGACCTCATCGTAAATACCAAGAAAAATGGTGATATTTGACCCCAAATAAAAAGAATTGTGAAAAAGAATACCAAAAGAGACCAGAATGAATGACTACAACACAGCTGTTTTCTCAACTCGAGGAGATGAGATAAACCGCTGAAGAAAAGCAAAAAAACGAGGATTTTTTTTTTGTCAGCCAGCTGGATATCGAAATAAAACAATAACCGATGCCAAATCAATCGCAGTCAAGCACGTCGAAGCGGTAGAAGCAAAATTAAAGAGCGAACGGCAACGGTTGAATAAAAGGCGGCGCCAGGCCTGTAAACCCAAAAGTGAGGGTGAAAGAAATCGCCACCGACCAAGCGGACGATGGTTCAACGACGAAGAGAAGTGAAGATGATGCAACACACGAGAAGAACAGTCCCGGGAAAAGAAGAAAAGGGAAGAGCCCGGTACGAGTAGAGAGAGAACCGAGCCGGCTGTCGTCAGCTCAGCCAGCACAAGGCACCCGGCCATTGGAAGAAACAACCGCCCTGTTGACGAGTTCCCCTTCATTTCTCCGGCCATGCTCGAAACATGGCAATTGTTTGGAGCATTGCCAAGACACCATTGCTGAGAATCCAAGACGGAGCTCAAACAGCGGCGGCGCGGCGGTAGCGGTTTAGACTGGGAGTCTTGGTCGGTAGGCGATACCCCATACAGCGATTGCTAGCATTTGCCGGGTTAGGGACCTGGATCTGAGACATGGTTCAGACGCCTCCTGTCTGGGAGCTGGTTCGCGATAGTGGGGCTGGGCCAGGACACTATGGCAAGCCGCTGGCCTAATTTTGGGACCGGACATTTCTCGAGCTCGTCAATGGTCGGGCTAGATGTGACTGTAGATTCCCGTAGGAAGAATCTGGTGATTTTGATGTCAGGTTGATTAAAACGCAAGGATGTGAAGACGGCTTGGGATGTTTAGCGTCTTGAAAATCATGCGATGCAGGGCCAAAGGGCGAGCGAGTGAAGAGGCTCCCAAGGGATGTGGGGTCGTCAAACGGCGTCTAAAGTTATCAGATCTGATTTGGTGATGATTATTTAACATCATGGGTGAAGCATTTTGTCGAATTGCGTCGAGACGAGAGAGGGTCTGCGGGAAATGAGTGAAATGACCGGGTTGATCTAGGCCGAGTTCGTCAAGGCGGCATGGTCGCGCATGCGTGCATGAGGAAGCAATCTTGAAACAAAATTGATCGGATCATGCTGGTGCTGGATAGGCGAAGGAAATGTCGTGAAATATGATGGAGTCAGAATCCGAGTAAATCTAGTACAGAGTGTGGAGTATGTGGATGGAAGAAGATCAATGGATGTCAATATGAATAGGTACTAAGGTATGTTCCGGATCTTGTATATTTCCAGTGCCGATTTCCTTTCCCTGCATTGAATTGTTACATCAAGAGCTGTCAAGAGCAAGGCACTCCGCACCTGCCAACAACTTGGACTTTGAGTTGGGGAACCATGCAAGTGCAGGTACCTGTACTTTAGTACTCTGGTATTTTGCATTTGGCCTTGTAAGATCAATGAATTTACCAACCTCCAATGACACGCTCTCGATGCTGGCAGAAGATTCCTTTTGCGCCCATCGAGGGGCAGCGAAACTTGATTCCCACCAGCCGTCTATATAGCCACCTTCAATAATATTCTGAAATAACATCAACTTCATCCAGACACTTGATTGCCATTTAATCAATAATTGATGACCAAACCCTTTTTTTTTTTTTTTTTTTTTTTAACAATTTATGTGAAATGCCAGCCATTCATGTATTAGACGACTACTACCTCACCATCACCGCTCTCATCACCGTCGGCTACCAGCTCTTCTTTTTCGCCATCGCTTACACCTGTAACTTTGACAAACTCACCGGTCCGTCTCCTTATATCGTTGTCACCAAACATTTCACATCTCCTTAAATTGACAAAACAATTACTTCGCCTCACTTAGACTTCGCCGGCGGCTCCAACTTCATCATCCTCGCCATCACAACCCTCTCCCTCAATCACCACCATCAAGCCCGCCAACTCGTCACCACCCTCCTCCTCATCGCCTGGGCCATCCGCCTCACCACATTCCTCCTCTTCCGCATCCTCAAAACAGGCAAAGATGACCGCTTCGACGGGATGCGCCAAAAGTTTTTCCCCTTCCTCGGTTTCTGGGTCTTCCAGATGCTCTGGGTCTGGACCGTCTCGCTGCCCGTCACGGTGCTCAATTCGCCGGCCGTGACGCGCTATCCACAGCATCGGTTTGGGACGGGGAGGGACATTGTGGGAGTTATCATGTATTCCATCGGTCTTGGGATTGAAACCGTGAGCGATGCGCAAAAGTATCGGTTTCGGAGCTCACACGATGGCAAAGCTGTGTGTGACGGGGGCTTGTTTGCTGTTTCGCGGCATCCGAATTACTTTGGGGAAATTCTCGTCCATTTTGGTAATATCAATTCCTCGTGTTAACGTAGATTGGAAAAAGGAAGAAGAGAGAAAAGATCCTGGCTGACTCAACCTAGCCATTTATATGATTGCCGTCTCATCAGCTGCAGATGGCTTCGTCCACGGCCAAGCCTATAAAGCCCTTTATACCACCATCCTGGGTCCATTCTTCCTCGCATTTCTCCTCCTATTCGTGTCAGGGGTACCGCTATCGGAACGCCCAAAGACAAAGGCACGATATGAAAGCGACAACAATTGGCAAGCCTATGAGCGCTGGTTAGATCGTACCAGCATCCTCATCCCATTCCCTCCGCAGCTGTACGAGAAGATGCCGACAATCTTGAAAAGGACTATCTTTCTCGAGTTTCCCATGTATGTATTCGACCCAAAGAAGCACTCTGATATAAGTCAACCCGGAGGAGCTGCGGACGAGGGCGATGTAGGATCTGGAGGAGAGGACCAAACCAGTTCTCCACAGAGCGGTGAGGAGAGGCTGATATAGTAATTTTTTCTATTATGATGAATGAGATGTTTAAATCAAAAAACTCCCTTGGTATATATGTGTGTGCGTTATGTGTATATGTTCGTTCTATGCGAATGTGCTCATCCACGCACTAGCAAACCCCCCTCGGCCCGTAGCAATGGTTTTATGCTGGCGAACCACTAGCATGAAAAGTACCATAAAAAGTAATCATTCCCTCGTTTTCTGGATGACTTAAATCGTTAAAAAGAAAAAAGAACAAAAGAACATCGTGACGCCACATTACATCACCGTCAGCATAGCATCATCTAGTTCTCACAATAAAGAGCCCATATGCATATCCATCCCTCCCTCCCCAAGTAAATCAGTCAAAGATACGGAAACAAAATTAAGAAAAGAAGGGGAAAAAGAAAAGTAGCGCAAAATCCAGAAAGATTTGCTCAATCCAAGAGCTCCTGGCTCTGGCTAAACTCGGGGCTGCTAGACGCCTCGGAATGCGCCTCGGAGCCCTCAGGAATGGGCACCATGGCGCTCTTGGTCCAGATGTGGATTGCCTTTGTCCAGTCAAGGCCCTCGATGCAGCCGCCCTTGACGGAGAGTACGTTTTTTGACTTGTGTCGGTGTTAGCTTTGCAGGGGGATGAAGGGGATTGACGATGGTTGAAGAGAGCATACCGGTGTCATGTGGATGAGTCGCGTTCCGCAGCTGCGGCAAAAGTAACTGTAGAGAAGTCCATCAGTCGTCGGAATTCGTCGATTGTATCAAGTCATGGGATCATCTCGTACCAGTAGAGCGTCTGCCCTGATGCCGTCGGTCGCCTAAACTCGATAAAGTCCCAATTAGCATCAAAACCTCCTTCCATTTCCTTCATTCTCCGTCTTCAACTCTCGCCTCGTGTCCCATCAACTGAACAACTCTTTCCTCCTTGGGACAAAACATACGCGTAGCAGCTCAGGTCCTCCGTCTCCGGTAGCCTGAAATGCGGAAATATGGCCGAAGTGCCAAACGCCGAGCCCGTCTGTTTCCTGCACTCGGAGCAATGGCATATATACAGCGCCAGGGGTTCGGGCAACGGCGTCTTGAACGTCACTGCGCCGCACTGACACCGCGCGTTCATGGTGGAAGGAATCGGAGAAGAAGAGAAGAATGAAAAAGAAGTAGAGAAATTTGTGTTGTTGTTTTGCTATAATGGGGACCGGCCGTTTCGATTGAGTTAAGACCGTGACGACAGGATCTCTAGCTTTTATCCGCTTTCTGAGAGTGATCGCTAACGAGTAGGATGTCAGGATGTTATAAAGTCGAACCCAATGGATTCAAGAGCTTCTTTGCCGTTTAAATCTCAATATACACGGTCGTCTTGTCAAGGCGAAAGACGCATCAAATGAAGTTTCGTAGTAGTTTTAAGATCGAAGAAGTGAAAAAACGTCAGCGACGTCGGCTGTCTGAACCGCAATTGCATGTGCCTAGAATTAGGCTATGCATCATCGGGTGTGCTAATGTAGTAATCAAAACAGAGCCCAGTTCGATCGACGTTAGTCTTGTGTAAGGCACATTTACAACAATACAATTAATCCGATCTATTCAATTTTATTTTTATTCTTGTTTTATCTATTTCCTCTCTATTTTTCAATTACTCATCATAAAAACCACACAGACTCGGAGTAATCCCTTCACAAATCCGCATACTAGTTGAAAAGAGTCACCAAAAAAGGCAAGGATGTCAGTCGCCGGTCCTCGCATTCACAAACGAAAGAGAGGCTCGACCATTCAGCTAGACACGGAATAGGCAGTAATCGAACGGGCCAGCCAAAAAAGCCATCCATTCGGACATTCGCATCGCCTTTTGCTTCCTTATCCGGCCGGAGCTAGAGACGTCGAAACGGGGCCCGCAACCGCATCTCGGCAAATGCAAATACGCTTATTCGCCTATATAAGCCATTTGATCGTTTACATTCTTACCAATCTGCTATTGTTTCCTATCCTCCTGATATGATAGGTACGAAATATAGTACACACCTCTTTATTTTCTCTCTGTTTTTTAAGCCGAGGTGAGTGACTCATCCTTGCAACCCGAACCCGACTTTGAAAGCCACTTTTTAAAAAACAGCGCGTTTTCTAAAGAGCTCCTCCACGAAGGTGGGGGGAATAGTGAATACGGCCTCTCAACTACTTCAGCTCCATGCACGCTCTGTTCAGCTCTCGTCCTGTCCTGTCCTTTCTTTCTTCTTGCATTGAAAACACATTAATCGTAACTATTATTAATGTCTGATAAGGCTGCTTTGTAATATCCACTATTCACATGTGTACAGCTCAACATCTCATCTGTTTCTGTATCTTTTCCTAATCGTTCAGTTTCCATACCGGCTTGTAAGCGGCTACTCACGGCCAGTCATGGCATTGATAGCATCAACAACTCAGATTCAACCACACCGCAAATGCAAAAATCCATCGTCCTTCGGCCAAATACAAAGCCATCATTCCCTTCAAAGCAATTCGTGAAAACCCCGTTCTCCCTACTATATTCCTCCGATAACCGGTCCGCTCTTCTCTCCGCGGACACCACTAGCGAATCCTTACGTTATCCGATGTAACAATTAAACAACTTAAAACGAGAGGCATGTAACAAATAGGTTCATACTACTTTACTTTTGTGTGTTGTACCAACAAACAAGTCGTCCATCCGGTCTGCAGCCACCCGGGGGCTAAAATCCGCTCATGCCTCGGCGGTCCGAATAAACAATCACAATGTCCGGTGCTAGCTATTGGCACGATGCCTGAATTCAGCGGGCACCTGATGGAGCGTATTTCCAATCCTTTGGATACAAAAATAAGGCTATACGACATTCTGCAGCCTTAGTGGAACCGAAGCCGAGGCCGAACCCGAAAGACGCCTTTACACGAATGTACAGATGGATCACAAAGATTGATATTATTAAGAATGAGCAATAGACCCAAACGCCAGTTAAAC